CCAGGGACATGTGGGACTGCTCCTCTCTGCCCTGCCCATCGCCCATCCCTGGTGAGACAAGGCCACAGCCCCAGGATTGGGAAAAACAAGTGGCCATAGTACCCGCCCAGCTCCAGCTTGGCTGGACCACAGCCCTTGTCCCCGCAGAAGAGAAAGATGGTGACTCTTGTGTGACACGTGCTGCTGGTGTGGCTGACTGCCCACTGTGCTCCAGCCCTGCAGAGGCTGCTGGGCTCCGGAGGGCAGGTAAGGGGCTGCCCAGGTGCCATGGCTCTGGGGCAGGGTGTGAGGCTGGGGCTGATCCTGTCCCATCCTGCCTTAGGGGGTCTGGCTGTGAAGGGAGCCAGGCTGAGGGGCTTTCACTGATGTGTTTTGGCCAGCAGGTGCCCGCCACCTGCCCGAGTGGGTGCCGGACAGCACATGCAGCCAGTGCTCTGCCTGCCGCTCGCCCTTCACCCTGATACGCCGCCGGCACCACTGCCGCAGCTGTGGGAAGGTAGGATGGGGTTGGGTTGGGGCATGTGGGGTTCCCTGAGGGACCCAGCTCTGCTCAGCCCCTCTCTGGCCTCCCGGCAGATCTTCTGTGCCCGCTGCTCACCGAACACTGCAGTGCTGCCCCACTATGGCCAGACCAAACCCGTACGTGTGTGCACCCACTGCTACACCACACACCTTCCGCCCGCATCCCGCTGTGCCCGGAGCCAGTGAGAGCCCCTCTGCCAGATCTGCATCACAGGAGGATGGCTGCCCAGGGCCGCTCCGGGGCTGCCGGGCAGCTCCTCGGCCCCATGACTGTCCTCAGAGCTTGGTGGGTATGGCGGCAGGACCCCCCCCACATGGTGTTAGGCTTTCCCCCGATGCACAGGGGCAGGACCCCACAGACGGTGGCAGCCTATACGGAGTGATGGCAGGACCGCCTCTCCTGGTGCACCGTGGCCTGCTCTGCTTTCGGTGAGCCGCCTGCTGCTGCCGTGCACCTGCCCCCCGGCTGGAAATGTGCTTCGTGGTGGTTTTTCTTCAGGTGAACTTTGGCTGCTGTTGGGCCCGGGGCAGAGTCTCCCCCCGGGGCTTGGCCTGAGAAGGTGCAAACAGCCCTCACATGACAGCGGGTGCCCCGGGGCCGCCCGTGCCGTGCCCGGGAGATGGGGCCCTTCCCTGATAGGGAAGGTGCTCCCCTTCCTTCCCTATCGCCTCCACCCGATGGATTTTAATAAAAGAGATGAACTCGTCCGTCTGGGCCGCGGTGATTCCCGTGGGGCTGGCGGGCGCGGCCGGTCTGGGGACACCCGTGGACTGGGTGGGGCGGGGGCTGGGGGCAGCAGGGCGTGCGCGCTCCCGCCCGGTTCCCATGGGCGGACACTGGCGATCCGCGCGTCACCGGGCGCGCGCGTGGGCGGGCACGGGAGCGGGCGCACCTTTCCAGGGGGCGTGGCCTTAGGGGCGTGGCCCCGGGACGACAATTGCGAACCCCGGGCAGGGGGCGTGGCCCGAGCCGTGTCCTCCCGCCGATTCAAATTTTAAGCACGCGCTTTCCCGCCTGAATTTGTTTGCCCGCCGAGGTGACGTCAGCGGCGCGGGGCGCCCCGCAGCCAATGAGCGCGCGGCTCGCGGTCCCCCCCCGCCCAAGCCCCCCTCTCCCGCCATGGAGCCCGCGGCCACCAGCATCCAGGTGCTGCTCCAGGCGGCCGAGTTCCTGGAGCACCGTGAGCACCGGCACCCGCTCGGCCTGGCCGAGGCCGAGCACGGCTACGCTGCGCTCTGCCCTCCGCCGTCTCGCCGGGCCGTGGGCAGCGTCAGGTGAGCGGTGGGCGAGTGGCTGGGCGGGTGGACGGCGGCGGTGGCGGTGCTGATCGCCTGGGTCTCTTCCGCAGGTCGGTGCACAACGAGCTGGAGAAGCACAGGTACGGGGGCGTGGGGGGAGAGCGACGGGGCAGGGGGTGGCGGAGCCCGAGCCTGTCCGTGGCTGACACCCCCGTGTCGTTCCCCCCCTGCCCGGCCGCAGGAGAGCCCAGCTCCGGTGCTGCCTGGAGCGGCTGAAGCAGCAGGTACCGGTGGGCGCGGGGCCGTCCCGTTCTACCACGCTGAGCCTCCTGCACCGTGCCCGGCTTCACATCCAGGTGAGAGGGGTGGTGGCTCCGGCATCCTCGGGAGGTGCTGTGTGGCAACAGGGCCGCCCAGCTCGCGTCCCGCTCACGGCTCACCGGGTCCCCAGAGGCTGGAGGAGCAGGATCTGAGGGCACGAAGGGCCAAGGACCGGCTGCGGGACCGGCAGCGGAGCCTGCAGCGGCGGCTGGAATTGCTGCTCTTGCCCACTGACGGGGAACGGGCACGGGCCGACAGCCTGGACTCGTCCCAGCTCTCAGAGCCCTCCGAGGAAGGTAAGAAAGGGGAAAGAACGAGAGTGGGCAGGGAGAGGAAGCAGCCAAGGGCCTGACCTGGCCTCCACTGTTGCCCAGAGGATGCCGAGGTAGAGGTGGATGGTGTGATGTTCAGCGAGGACCTGCTGGCCAGCTTTGGCACCGGGAGGGACCACAGCTACTCCAGCCCCCACAGCCCTGCATCCTGACAGCGCCCACTGCCTTCTCTGCACTGCCTACCTGCTTCCTTCCTGCTGGAAACCCGGCCTCGGCCAGCCTCATCACAGCTGCCAGGGTAAGGGGTCACAGGTGGGGGCAAGAGTCCGGCTTTACCCCCCACAGCTGGGTGGCACTGGCTGTGGCACTGGGTGCATGGGGCTTGCACTGCACGGTGGCAGCTGCTGTGCACCACAAGGCACTGGAAGAGGTGCTGGAAGAAGGCCCAGCTGTCACCGAGGACACCCTCCTGCCTCCCCCTGTGCACCCCCAGGCAGTTTGGGAGCTCTCTGGTGTGGGTATGGGGTGGTGCTGCCCACTGCAGACACGACTACAGGAAGGGGAAACGAGCACATGAAGCGACCTGTCTTTATGCTCCTGCAGCCACCCTGCTCTCTTGTACAGACCCAACACTTTATAGTAAAGGCACTTGGTAAAACCCTGGCCTGTGTCTTCTCTACAGAGTGCTGGATCCCCAGAGCGGAGGGCAGCGCTGGGCTCAGCTCTAGCCAGGCCAGTCTCAGCCAAATCAGAGGTGGGAGTAGATTCTTTAATGATAATTACATCTCAGAAAGGGTCAAACAGCAGCTGATTGTCAGACTTATACAGTTTCTTTAAAAATATAAAATCTAAGGAGTCTCCTATCTGTCCTGGTGCAGCTGGCCCCTCACACATACTGCTTCTTCTTGGTGGCTGCCTTGCTCGCCAGGTCCTTGGCTTTCTCCGTAGCAGCCAGAGCTGTTTCCTTGGCTTTCTCGGTCGCTTCCTTGGCTGTCTCCACCAGTGTTTTGGATGGAGCTTCTCCTACAACATGGAAGCCATTAACCCCACAGGAGTGCCGGCTAGACCAGCCCTGCCACCAAGGCACTTCCCCACACAGGGAGGAAGATGAGCCCGGCGTTCCTGACCCCAGCACGTCAGGGCACGTCAAGGCAGGTCGCAAAGGGGAACCACAGGCACGTGGCTGTTGCCATGTTCCATCCCCTCCTGCCTGCGCTCCACCCTTGCCCGGCCCTGCAATCACTGCTGGCCTGCTCCACTCGGGAAGAGTGGGCTGTGCCAAGATACAGGGCAAAGGCAAGGGGTGAGGATTTCACAGTCAGATTAGTTCAAACCACAACCTGCCCGTGGACTGGAGTGTTCCCAGTGTGACCTCTAACTCCAAGAGACCCGTCCCGGTCAGCCCCAGCCTGCCCTTGGTGCCCACCTTGCATTCTTGCTAGCACGTATTCAAATCCCTTAGTGCTCTTGGTCACGTTGCTTTTGAACCTGGCCAAACCAAACTCCTGCAAGGGAAAAATCAGTGAAGGTGCGAACCCTGTCACACACAGCCCCTGGGGCTTTGTCCCAGCTTGAAAAGTCACAGTGACTTTCACAGTGATGCTTCTGGATGCCTTAAGAGCTCATGAGGATGGGGGTGGGGGGGAGAATGAAGGGAAAGGGTGTAAAAACCAGCAGAAGGAAAGGGTAGAGCAGGAATGAGCAGCGGCTTTACTGCTTGAGCTCACCTGGATGGCCCGCGAGAAGCCAAATAGGCTGGAAGATACCCAGGCTTCCCGCTTGACCTCGGTCCAGTTGCTGTTCTCAGGGTTCACCCGGTACTCGCAGCGCTCCTCCACCACCTGCACGAGGCACAGCCCAGCCATGGGCACTGCTGGGTCCCCTCCAGCCCCCCCACACCCGCCCAGCAGCAGCACCTACCATGAGACGAGCGTGGTTGATGTTCCAGGTGAATGTGGTCATGGTTCGGTTCTTGGGGTCCACGATAGAGTCCTCCAGGATGTAGACGGAGTGGGCGACATTGGCTGGGAAGAAGCGCTCTGCCCAGCGCGGCATCCGGTTGGTCTTGGTCAGGAGCCGCCGAGAGAGCAGCTTGTGGTCCGGCGTCACCTCCCGGTGCACGATGTCTTCGGTCAGGACATGTTTGCTAAAATGGGGGAGAAAACATCAAGCCCTGCTCCTCGCCAACTCTCACCCGGGGCCGGGAATCGTCAGGAACTGAAGGATGAAGGCGAGGGAGGAACCAGCTGCCCGCTGGACACCCATCCCCGGAGGCTGGAGCCCGCGGGACCCCCGGGGACAGGGCTGGGCTGAGGACAGGGGGGGTGGCACCAATCCCGGTGGGACCCGGCTGGCGGAAGGGGGCGGGGGGTCGGGGAGGGCCCCGGCGCACCTGTAGGGGTTGGGGTAGCGCTGCCAGAAGGCGGCGAACACCTGGTCCCAGGGCCCCTTGAGGACGCCCAGGCTGGCGCAGTATTTTCCCATGGGGCCGCCGCTCAGGCCCGCGCCTGCTGGGCGGCCGCCATGCGGCCCGCGCGCCCCGCCCCGCCGCGCGCTTCCGCCCCGGGCTGCGCACTTCCGGCCGCACCCCGCCCGCTTCCGGCCCCGCCCCGCTCGGTTCCGGCCCCGCCCCGCCCGGTGCGGCCCCGCCCCGCGGCGGCGGCGGCGCCAGGATGAGCGGGAGGCGGGTGGACGCCAAGGTGGTGCTGCTGGGGCAGGAGGGAGTGGGCAAGAGCAGCCTTGTGGAGCGCTGCGCCCACGGCCGCTTCCGCGCCGGGCCCTACCAGAACGTGAGTGACACCGGCACCTCGCGGCCCCGCGCTGCTGCAGCGCGTCCCCGGGATGGCGCACCCCGTGTCTCCCTCGCCTCCCCGGGATGAGCCCCTCGCGTTTCAGACCCGCGTCCTGCCCGCTGCCACCCCGTTTCCGCGCCGTGTCCCCGGGGCGCTGCCACCCACGTCCGTGGGACGGCGTCCGCTCGTGTTCTCCTCCCCCTGTCCGGGCTGGGACCCACCGCGTCCCTCCCGCGCCCGAGGGTCGCTCCCCTCGTTTCCTCACCCTCCTTCCGCACGCCCCGGGGTGAATTCCCCCGTGTCCCTGCGCCGGTTTCCACCGTGTTCCCAGGCCAGATGCCCCCGCATCCCCGGGCCGGTTCCCACCGCTCCTCTTATTTCGCTTCCAGACGATCGGAGCCGCTTTCGTGGCCAAGGTGATGAGCGTGGGGGACCAGACAGTGACTCTGGGCATCTGGGTAAGTGCAGGGGCGAGGGCTCTGCCAGCGCCCCGCTGACATCCCTGGCCACCCCCTGGGACCCCTGAGCCCCTTGGAGTCCTGTCACCTGCCGAGCGCTTCCCTGTCGCCCCCAGGACACGGCGGGCTCGGAGCGCTATGAGGCCATGAGCCGCATCTACTACCGGGGAGCCCGGGCTGCCGTCGTCTGCTACGGTAAGGGCACGGAGAATGGGAAAGGGAAGGAGCTGGTGGCTGCAAAGGTCCCAGGGTGGTGGTGGTGGTGACACCAGTGTGTCAGGCACTGAGGAGCAGTGTCAGCAGACCCCGATTCCTCTCCCCAGATCTCACTGACAGTGGCAGTTTCCAGCGAGCCAAGTTCTGGGTGAATGAGCTGCAGAACTGTGAGGAGGTACAGCGGAGCCAGGGGGCTGTGAAGCCTCACCACGGCACAAGGGGTGCTGGTGGTGGGGACATGAGCACACCCCTCCCAACCCTTTTCTTGCCGCAGGGCTGCCGGATCTACCTGTGTGGCACCAAGAGTGACCTGCTGGAGGAGGACAGGAGGAAGCGGGGCGTTGACTTCCACGATGTGCAGGACTACGCTGACGGTACGGCCGCTGCTGGCCCTTCCTGGGCTCATGAGCATTGAGTGGGTGGGGAGTGAGAGAGGATTGAGCTGCTGTGTCCACACGAGGAGCTCTGCCCTTGCTGTGTGCCCACAGCAGATTCAATGGCATCAGGGCTCCCTGTATGGGACCTCCCTGGGCACAGCATGTCCCGACATGGGCAGGCACGTGGCCAGCTGGGCCAAGGGGCTGGGAGCCCTGCCCTGGGTCCCTGCCAGCCCGCTGTCAGCAGCTGTGCCCAAGGGGTGACTCTGGGGCCAGACAAGCCTGTGGAGCCTTATCTGCTGCTCCTGCAGCAAGTGCCAACCTGGGCTCTCATTTCAGAGATCAAAGCAGACCTCTTTGAGACCTCCAGTAAAACGGGCCAGAGCGTGGGTGAGTAGCTCCTCACTGGGGCTGTTCTGGCTGAGCAGGGCTGGGGGCTCTTCCTGGCAGCGGGGCACCCACACCTGCCATGCCTCCTCTCCCCCCAGACGAGCTGTTCCAAAAGGTGGCTGAGGACTATGTCAACTTCTCTGCCTTCCAGGTGATGACAGGTGAGTAGGCAGGACCTGTCCCTCCCCAGGCACCCTTTCCTGTGCCTCTAGGGAGGGTGCAGAGCATGAGCTTTGAGGGTCTGGCAGGGCTACCCTTGGGGCTGCCGTGGCTCAGTGCCAGGGATTGTCTCGTGGAGTATGAGTTCCATCACAGCATCCTCATGCAGCACACCCACCCAGCTGGGTCACGGTGGCCTTTGGCAGCCAGGAGCCTTGCTGGGCTGCAGGACAGGCTCAGCTCTGCACCAGCCCTGCCCAGGCATGCTCAGCCTGGCTGTGCCTCCCACCCTGGGCCGTGCCATGACCCTGAACCTCTCCACTTCTCCATGGGGCACCAAACCCTCCCCAGGGGACCTGCTGGGGCCCACAGCTGGGACCAGCAGCTTTGGTGGCGTGGATGTGCCAGCAGCCTGCCGCTCCTGCTCTCTTCCAGAGGACAAGGGTGTCAACCTGGGCCAGAGGAACAGTCCCTACTTCTACAGCTGCTGCCACCACTGAGCCCCTGTGCCAAAAGGGAATCGCTGCTGCTGGATGGGCAGCTGGCACGTGCTGGACTGCTCCGGTTTTTTACCTGCTGTGTTTTAGCTGTTTGTGCCTGGCGTCAGCACAGCCTACGGACTGCTCTCCTGGCACACAGAGCGGCACAGGGCTGCCGTGCACTGCCGGGAATCATGGACTGTCACCCTGGGGACCCCCCTCCCTGCCACCTGTGGTGCTTGTGGGAGCTGTGGTGGCCCAACGGTGGCCAGTAACTTATTCTCTCAGAGATGCTCGATTCTTTGCAGATTTATTTAAGCGTCTTCTCTCGAGGTGTACAATGTAAATAAAACGCGTTGTGGTCTGAGCCGTACCCCTACGCGTGAGGCTGTCAGGGCTCTCCTTCCCTGCTTCCCCCCACTCAGCAAGACAAACCACAAGAGGACATCGAGAGTAAAGTTAAACTTTACTTTACAGTAATTTTTCTTCTATATACAAAGAATTACAGTACATGTTCTGGGAGCACCTGGGCAGGGCAACCCTCTTTTCATTATAAGTTTCACATACACAGCCAACAGTCTAAGGGGAGCAAAATGAAAGTAATCAATGGTCCAAGACTCTCCCCTCTCCCTCTTCTAAAAATAATATACATGCTGGAAATATGTAGTTTTCTCTCACCTGCTCTGGCATTCCTTCTTACAACTGACAGACGACTCCTGGCCAGGGCTGAGCACCCCCTTGTCCCCCCTGCAGTGCTCCAGCTCCGGCTCCTGCCTTGGCTGGGATCTTTGACTCCTGGTGTGTTTCCCTCTGCCTGAGCCTGCAGAACGGGAGTCTGTGGGGGACCCCCATTCGCTGCCACTGCGAGCAGCAGACCTCAGAGGGGAAGGAAGGCAGTGTGGGGCTGCTCACACCAAGTTTCTGTTCCTCCCACAAGCAAACTTCTCACTCACGGCTCCAGAACAACTTACGCTGCTGCCACGAGTGGCTCCCCATGTCCCCGGGCAGTGAGAAAGGGGCAGTGGGCAGCCACCCTCCCCAGGGCCCTCGGCTCGCTGGCAGCCAGGACCCCAGCTAAGAGCACACAGTGCTGAGGGTGGCAGGGGACGTTAAAAGCGAGGCACGGTGCCCAACACGGTGTCTTGGGAACGAGCAGGCTGGTGGGGCAGTGCTCTGCACCAAGGATATGCAGGGCTGGGAGCTCCACTGCTGAAAGGCTTCCATGGCCCCTCGCAGGGAGAGCCACTCCCTGCCTGCTCCCGATGCTGCCAACACATCTCACCTCCCACCCACGCCAGCCGGGGCCACCCTCAGCTCCAGCCACGCTCCACCTTGAGCCTCCCAGTGCTTGCTGCTTTTCCTTTTAACAAGTTCCCAGTGTGTAAAAGAATACACAAAACCCAGTTCTTTGAAGTCAACAACTCGGAAACATCAGAAAAAGAAACAAAAACTGAAACCAGCTCAGTACCAAACAGACACAAAGAACATGCAGTAGCAGATGCCTGCTTGCTTCACGTGGCTCCATGGGCTCCCCATGGGGCTCAGTGACACACTGGTTTGAGTCTCAAAACCACCATAAACTGAAGGAACCGAGTCACTCCTTGTCCTGTTTCAGTCACACGTGCTGAAGCCCGGCCCCAGCTCCAGGGGGATGGGATCAGCTGGCCAAGAAGCCCCAGCCCGTGGGCCAGGAGCCATGAGTCCAGCCCTACTGTGCTAAGCTGCCAACGGTTTACAATAGCACCACAATAGCCCAAGGGCTTAGCCAAGGGCAAACTTGATTAAAACTTTACCTTGAAATAGGCCATAGTGACACCCATTTCTCAGATTTCCCTAGGAGGTAGATTCAGTGCTGTAGGGACTGTCCATCACTGCTGCTCCTCCAGCCCAAGCTCACACAATCTGTCCTGTCCCCCCCCGCCCCGGCACCAAACTTTGCTTACATCACTTTTGCAGGACCCGGAGCAGGAATCTTGCATTCCCCCATCTCCTGCTAAGCAAGGGCACTGCCATCCCACAGCTGAGACTCCTGCTGAAGCCAGGTGTGTGGCAGAGCAGTCCCCAAGCTCCAGTGTCCCGTGTCCCAGGCCCTGGGAGCCCCAAGCACCCATCAGCCCAGCTGTGCTGCTGCAAGAGGAGCAGCCTCGGCTGCAAATGCTGCTACCAGCGTTATCACTATCACAGGAGGGTGGGTAATTAGCGCGGGCAAAGCCTGGGAGATCAAACACAGCATCCCCCCATACTTTCAGAGTAGCTGCACAATTTGCCACTTTGCTTTAACACTCACTGGCTAGCAAAGGCCGAAAGCCTCATCAGTAATTTAGGGCAAAGCACTTTACAAGCAGGTTACAATTATGGTTATTCCAAACATCAAGCAAAATCAGAAGTTAAGGCTGAAATTAAAAATAAACGGAAGGTGTTGAAGGTCTGAGGTTTCTCAAACTCCCCCTGCCGTCACAACACTGGCTGTGGTGTCCCGACTGGAGCTGGGCACACCCACAGCACGCTCAGGGCTAACACAGAGCCAAGAGCATCAAGGTCAGGGCCGCTTTTTCTTTTTCTTTTTTTTTTCTGTGAAACATAGCTGAAGCTTTTATAGCAAACGCACCGTCTCACCTTAGTTCTTTAATGTCCTTTACATTCAACCATCTCTCTTATCTCCCGAATTTTAACACCAGCCACACCTTCAGAGCCTCTGCCTGCAGGGGTTTAACCCTGAATTAACTCGTGCTCCCATGGTACCACCCAGATGCTTTGTGTATTGAAGTGACTCTGATTCCGGGTGAGATTTTTTTTTTGTTAAATAGGAAAAGTTTAACTGGAGAATAGCAATAAAGCAAGCTATCATGAGCTAATTTGTATCTGGAGATGTGCAGTAGGTGAGGTGATTATTCCTTCCAGTGACAATTCTCCTGCTAGATTCACCAGAGCCCTGGCTGACAGTGGGCACCGGGGAAGATGGGACAAGTGGCCCAGGACACTGGCCCGTGCCTGCTCCCCTCCTGCCCACACATCCCACAGGTCCTGTGGTGGCTCCTCCTCTGCAACCCTCATCCCGAGGGGGGCACAAGGCCCTGACCACGCTGTTATCCCTCATCAGAGCTCCTCTGTCACCAAAGGGCAGCTGGGACTCTCCTGCCCACAGTGGAAATCCAACACTAAAGTGGGTCCGGAGGTGGGGTGGAGGTCATGGCCACTGACCCCAGCCCACTGCTCTGAGCAGGGGCAGCAGTTTTCCTGGCAGCAGGATGTTGACCAGCAAAGTGTTTATATATGAGCAGAGCCTGCATCTCCTTCAGAAATGGGAAGAGGGAATGAGTCTGGAAAATTCCTGTGAGCCATCGTGGGACACCAGGGAAGGGACAGAGATAATTACACCCTTGACTCTGCTTCTACAGTGCTCCACACCAGTGAATCAACACAGAAGTCACCTCTCACCCACCTTAGGTGCAATTAGGGCTGACCCAGGACTAAATGACCAGGTGGATTGTATCCCTCCAACACAGCAAGAGAGCATCACAGCCTTGGCATGAAGCTGCTGCACAGGTGTGACCCCAGCACGAGGCTGCAGCAGCGGCTCTCTCTCAGAGTCTGCCAGGGGTATGGGTTACTTTGCCTCTACCATCTACTTTTAAAATCCCTCACGATTCAAACTGGCTGAATTCTGAAGGCAACAGCAAACAGCAGCAAACAAACTCAACTGCTTCAACACAGACATGTCCCTCTCCTCCTCCAAGGCAGTGCTGCCAGCTGCCACCTCAGTGAGTCACCATGAGTACAGAAGATGCCCGTGTTTCCTTCACAAGGAAGGGTTTTGCTGCCTGAAGCGGTTCCCCAGCTCAAGCTCCCTGATGAGGGCAGGCTGGACAAGGGCAGGGCTGCTAGGACCTTTCTCTACAGCTGGTCAGGCCTTGTCTATGTGACACACAACAGCCCTGACACTCCCAAAAACACTACTACTCCCTCTGAAAAGCCCCCCTGATCTGATAGACCACCACCCAGGGCTCCAGTGAGGACAAAGAGGGAAGAGCAGCTTCCTGGCTTCTTCCTTCAACGATGTTCCTCAACACCAGTTTTGCCAAGCAGCCTCCGAGCTATGCTGAACTCAACTTTCCAACAGCAGCTGCAAGGCAGCAAGCCAGAAACCTGGATCCTTGTGGAAAAGGGAGACAAGAACAGAGACAATAGCTGCAACAAAGTAGGCTGTGGGAAATGCCATGCAACTGTTTAATCCACATTCACTGTTCCAAACAAGCTTTTGGGTAAGCACCTGCTGGCATGAAAGGCGGCTGCCACGAGCCTCACCCTGCTACGCGAGCCCGCGATTTATAGAATTCATTTTTTTTTCAAACCTGCTCTTGTGAGAATTCACTGAGAACTTCTCCATTTTACAGATTTAAAAAAGCCTGCACCAAAAATATTCACAGTTTATTTTTTCATGAAACAAGTAACTAGTTAACACGTGACAATGCGAAGCGGAGGTGGACAGAGCAGTGCAGAGACCTCTCTGGTTACAGCGGGAGCTAGCTGGGTGCTGGCACTGAGGAAACCCTACTTACACAATCTACATGACTAAGTCCAGCTCATGGGAAGGCTTATAAATGTAAATTCAAGATTTATTTTCCTTCTCACACATGATAAATACTTAATATACTGAATGTCATAATTTTTTAAAAAAACTTTTATTCAAAAACCTTAATGAATGCCCTTAAGGTAATCTCTCTCAACGGATCTGAGTTGTCCTGATTCCCTTTGTGGAGGAGTCACGCAGAAATGCAAGCTGCTTGCATTTCCCTAGTTTCAGCAGCAAGCAGGAACTGACCTGCCAGTCTTCCTGGAAAAAAACAACATTAAACAAGTAAGTTTCCATAAGCCATAAAGCTTTTCCAAGTCGTGAGCTATTCTACAAAGGATCTGAAATGATTTGGACTAGAGAAGAGATGCACCATAGCACTGGTAATGTCCCCCTGTGCCCAGCACACCCGGCCTTTTACAGCAGGACGTTGTCTCAGGGTGCTCACATCAGGAAAGGAGAATGGATCGGGACTTGTCTTGGTACAGGTGTCTGCCTCCCTTCATAGAAAACTGCAAAGCTCATGACTGTCTGCTCTGGGAGCAGCAGGCATTTGCAAGCCAGGAGGGAACAAGGACCTGCTCCCATGTTGGAGGAAGGAGGTCAGCATGGGGCTGAACTCTCCCTGCCTGGGAGGGGCCTGTGGATATGCCTGAAGGAGAAGGATACACACACTGGAGCTGCGCAAGGGTCTGGCGGCGGCACAGAGATCTGAGGCTGCAGCCCCAGATCGGTGGAGTTCAGGTAATTACAGAGGTAATGTGTTGTGAGAGTGGGAAAAAGCTGGTCAGCAGCGTTTCCTCGGCAGGACACCAACCCTATCCAGGCCTGGCAGTGCCACCTGGCCTCCTTTGAAGGAGGTCTGTGCTTCTCCTGCCTGCAAGGGTGCCGCTGGTCACAAGATGCTGCAGGTCCCTGGGACTCTACTGTGTGCCCCACGAGCACCACAGCCAAGCCAACTTCTGCCTCAACGCTTGAGTAAACGGCTTTCAGCAGGCCTAGTCTGGACACCAGCCCAATGACCACCAGGTACTAAATATTGCCTTCACTGTAAAGGGGAGAAGAGGAAAAAAAAGCCAGCCAGCTGCTGGAGCCCACCGTGTTCCAGTGTGAGAACTACAATTCAGTTGGATGGACGCACACGCGCGCACACATGCACACCAACACAGTCCAGTTAATTCAAGTCTCCTTTGGTTGTAGAAGAGTTAAGCCAGAAGCTACACAAGGGGAAGGTGTTGAGATGGGTCCCGATCCAGCTACGGCACCCTTGCCTCTGCGCTGTGCAGCGAGCGGGACAGGCTTGGCTTGCTGCTGGCAACACCAGGCGCGATGGGAACATTCTGAGCACATCTGAGGCAAAGGGAGAAAGGACTGCTCAGTCCGCTGGCTCACGCTGACAACAGAGGTCTAGAAGAGACTGGATGGAAATTTGAAAGGGAGCACTGTCCCCCTGGCAGGGCAGTGCTCAGCACCTCCAGGAACCCACTCTGCTCTGCTCCGCTATTGCTGCTTTATGGGTCACTACGTTGTCAAGTGCAGGAAAACACTCCGCGTGTCCTGTGCTAAAGGATTAAGACACAAGAATGAAAAAACTGCCAGATGACTTCTTCCAAGATCTCTCTTTTCCCTGACTTCCTCCGGATTTCCCGCTTCTTGGGCTTGGCCAGTTGCAGCTCTGTAAAAAAGGAGCCTGAATGGATACTGCCTATTGCTGGAGAAAACTGCACTGAGCGAGTGCAGGAGCTCCTCTCCCATCTCACTGGAGACGATCCCTGTCCTTGAGCAAACCACACACAGCATGTCCCAGTGAACACACAGACAAACCTCGTAAAGCAACGCCCTGCAGTGACAGAGACCTGGGCAGGTGACAAAAAAACCCTTCTCTGCTTCTGAAGTCTGGCAAGAACACACATCTGACTGCTTACCACGTGATCCCTGAAACATCTCCAGTGCCAGGGCAGCCTGACTGATCCACTTTCTTTAAATGTAGTAACAAGAGCAAGGCCCCTGGCTGTGCCTGGGAACCCACCTAAACATCAAACCTGGAGCTAAAACATGCTGGATCAGTAATGTGACCATTTCAATGGAATTGGAGATTTTTACCCAGAGTGGACTCTTTATTTCAGCTTCACCATTTGTAAAAGGAAGAGGAAAAGGTCACAGATGCTCTCTCTCCCTTTGGCTGGGCCAGACTCAGATTTAAGAGAATGTCCTTGCTCATGTCACAAGAGAATATGGATGGGATGTGCATGGGTTAGGGGCTGGGCTCAGGGAAGTGAATAAAAAAAACAAAACAAAGATTCCCCCTCCCTAAACATTAAACGACTGAAACCTGCCTCCCATATTCACCAACCTCACTTTGGCTCTGAGTCAGCCAACTCACGACAGACAGAATCCTGGTTACGGGCTAGCGCTGTGTTTTGCTCAGGCAAAGGGCCCTGCCCCCGAGGAGTCTGTGCTTTTCCACCCAGCCAAGCAATCTGATCAATTGTCTGAATGTTCGTGACAAGCCACTGCACCTGCTCCGGGGGCACCGGTGCTTCCCTGGCTGGCCGAGGGGTCTGCTCGAATGCACGCAATCTCTCTGATGTCCACGGGGTCTGCTCCGAGGGGGCTGAGGCCACTTCCCAGCTGGGCTGAAGGGTTGGCTCTGGTAGTTTCTCTGCTGTCCGGGAAGGCTGCTCCGCAGGCGTCAGGGCTTTCGCGGTGGACCAGTGGCTTTGCTCGTGCGTCTGCAGTTTCTCCGAAGGCCAAGGTACTTGTCCGACGTGTGTCACCACCTTCCCAGCAGACCAAGAGATTTGCTCCCCAGCTAACACGGTCCTTTCTTTCTGCTGGGGACTCAGCTCCATGGCTGGGGCTCCTCTCTCCTTCAGCTGAGCGTTCTGGTCGACAGGACGCAGTGCCTTCTCCGACAGCAACAGCCTCGGAGCTGATGCAGTTAGAGGCTTGTCCAAGGCTTGAGGCCGAGGAGCCACAGCAGCAGCCAGCTTATCGGATGCCTGAGGCCATGGGGCTGTAAGAGTGAGGGGCCTCTCCAAGAGTTGAGGCCGAGACACCCCGGAGCTGAGAGCCTTTTCCAAAGGAAGAGCCCGCAGGGTCCCAGAGTCAGCAGGCTTCTCTGGAGGAAGGGGCCGCACCACCCCGGGGGAAAGAGACTTCTGTGTGAGCGGGATCCGAAGGGCCCCTGAGCTGAGACCCTTCTCTGTGGGCAGGACGTGTGGTGAGCGGGAGCCAGGGGCCTTCTCCGGAGACAGGGACCATGGCAACCCTAAGCTGGGAGCCTTCTCTGTGGGCAGGATCTGAGGCATACCCGAACCAGCAGCTTTCTCTGGAGGCAGGGGACGAGGTGACCCAGAGCTGGGAGACTTCTCTGTGTCGGGGACCCGCACTGCCCCAGAGAAGGAAGCCTTTTCTAGAGGCAGGGATTGTGGTACTGCTGATCCAGGAGCCTTCTCTGAGGGCAAGATCCGTGAGACTGGGGAATCTGGGACTTTTTCAGTGGGAACAGACCACAGCACCTCAGGACTGGAAGCCATCTCCAAGGCTGGGACCTGTGGCACCACAGAGCTGGAAGCCTCTTCCACAGCCTGTGGCTGTGGACTCTGGGCAGAGGAGTCGTCCAACAGCTGGAGCTGATCAGCCTCAGGAGGCTCATCCTCCGGCTGGGACTGCAGCATCCCCACTGTGGCGAGGAGTCTGTCAGACAGTGGAGGATGCAGGCATTTCACAGGGAACTCATCCAGCAGCTCAGGCTGCTGGGCCCTGCTATCAATGAGGGACTTGTCCGACAACTCCAAAACCTCGGGGGCATCAGGAGTCTCATCTGACAGCTGGAGCTGCAGGTCACCAGCAGTAACAAGTGACTCATCCAACGGGGACTGCGGAGATCCCGGAGGAGATTTGCTCGGCAGCTGGGGCTGCGAGGCGTCACTGGAGGACTCGTCCAGTGGCCAGAGCACGGCGTTGCTGGGAGGTTTGTCTGGCTGCTGAGGCCGCAGTGCTACAATGATAGGCTGCTTCTCTGACTGCAGCCTTAGGGACAGGGCAGCCTGGGGCTTGTCTGATGGCTGCAGGCGAAGCGACAGGGTGGTGGGAGGTTTGTCCGAAGGCTGAAGCCGGAGTGAGAGGGTGGTGGAGGGTTTGTTGGATGGCTTCAGCCTCAGTGACAAGGTGGCGGGGGGTTTATTTGACTGTGGCAGTCTCAGAGCCAGGGTGGCAGGTGGTTTGTCTGGTGATGGTAGCCTGAGGGCCAGGGTTGTGGGGGGCTTGTTTGATGGCTGCAACCTCAGGGCAAGGGTGGTGGGGGGCTTGTCTGAAGAAGGCAGCCTCAGCGCTAGGGTAGCAGGGGGCTTTTCTGGTGACTGCAGTCTGAGGGCCACAGACTGAGGTAGGCTGTCCAGGGGCTGAACACTCAGGTCTGTGTCTGCCTCTGTTTCTGCAGGCAGCTGCTCTGGTGGCTGAGTGTCCTCGCCATTAGTCAGGCCTTCTATGGGAGGCGCATACTCACGAATTTCTCCTGGCTCTAGAGGGTGAGGTCCACAGGGATCATGCTCCGTACAGCATAATCGTCCATCCAGCTTGGAGATGAAGAGCATTCCTTCCCGGTGCTGCTTGCAGAAGGACCTGGGACACATCTCGCAGAACGAAGCTGCTTCTTTACCACACACATCACACTGATGCCATGGGCACTCCCACTTTCCTACAGCACAGACACGGGAGAAAAGACACACCTCAGGAGTAGGACATGGGCAAGAGACAAAGGCCTGCTGTAAAGGGACTTCTGGGGAAAGTGAAAACATTCCTTTAATACCCACATACAATTCTACATGTCCTCTTCACTTTTCTGCCTTAGCTTGACAGGCAGTTAACACAAATCTGCATTCTCAGAAGCAGCAAGGACAACGATAATCATGACAAACACAAGCCACATCAGCTCAGACCAAAAGTCCATCTGGCTCCTGCACAGCACTAACCAACAGAGGTGTCTAGAGGGAAGCACACACCCCCAGCTTGCCTATCTCTGTAGCTCTGATTTTCATAGAAAACAGCAGTAGTTATCTGTGCACAACACCCAAAGGACTTTTTAAGCAAACGTGTCAGATTCATCTTATAATTCTGTGTCAAGAACATCCCTTCCTGTTTTTTAGAAAGAAGAAGTGAGAGAGCAGTGATCACAAGGGCTAAGTTTCTATTGTCTCTGAACCCAAAAGCACATCCTTAACCTCTGGCCATGGATGGCCACAATAAAACAAAGCTGTCCCCCAAGCAGCTCCATCTTCACAGCAAACCTACTGACCATCAGTACCAATACCACCAGCAGGCAAAACACAACACTACACTTCAGAGATTGCTGCTTTTCTCACTTGTAATGAGCCCACTGGCTCTGCCTCCTGCTCCCTCAGCCAAGGCTGTGGCTGGCTCTACCAAATGTTTCCAGTTGATGGACACAACAGGCTGAGTTCCTGACCTCTCACCACAGGATGAGCAGGGATGTTTTTCCAAATACACCTCCTGCCTCTGCGCTCTTCCAGCTCTCCACATCCCCCATCTCTCCTGCTCCCTGCCTTGCTGTGGGGAGCAGCTCCTCGCAGAGCAGCCCTGGCACAGAGCTCTGAGCCAGAGGGCAACCATGGACACCAGCCAGGCCAGAGCACCTCCCAGCCTGCCTGGACCAAAGCCACAGACCCGTGGCTGTGGCTACCAGCTCCTTTCCAGGGAGGCTGGTTCCTGCAGCACAGCACTGAGCAGCTGTGGGCATTGCTCCCTGGACTTGTGCAACAGCAGCTCTCCACTCCCCTCTCTCACGCTGCTTTTCCCCTGGGGTTGAAGGCAACACGTAGTAAGTTTTTCCCCTCCTTTGAAGCCAGTCCAAGGCTTCTGTTCCAGTCTCAAAATATGCACAGTGTTCTTCTGTGTCTTTTCCAATTTTTCAGCATTTTTTTCCAAGTACGGATGTTTAACACTTCCCATGATCTCCCCTGTTCCTGGCCCACGGTGCTGCCCCCTCCACCAGCAGAATCCCAGAGAGAGCCACACAACGCTGGGCCACTGCAGAGACCCTGGGACTGTCCTTATAGAGGTCATTTGTACAGATGGAAAATAAAATAAGCCAAAACCTGCTAGTTTGTTGCAGGAAGGATAAATCCTATCAAACTACTCTAATGGTCTTTGACAGGATGAAAAGGTCTAATGAATAAGCATCCTCTCCAGGGACAGCCCGGAGCTCTTGGAAGTAAGATCACACAATTAGCAAACATGCAAACAAGCAGGATATTTCAATTACTTGACAGCAATGCCCATGGCAGAGGAAACATTTGAAGTAGAAAGTGCTGAACCTTTCATGTCCTGAACGATACTCTAAGGAGTAGGCTATGAAAATCACTGCCTATGTGTAAAAAAGGTAAAATTGCTAAAACTGACTGAAAATCATTCTCAAAAACCAGTTATTAATAGTCTTGCGGCAAACTGAGGAGACATTTCAAATTACATCCTTCAGGAGTGTATTTTAATCTCTACAATAATTTAAATTTCTGAAAGCAGAACAGCAAATATTCTTACAGATACAGGTAGATAACATCAAGCCTGTAAGGGACTGCAAAAATCCAGTTGGACAGGCTCAGAATTTAAACTGGACAAATGCTCTTGCACCAAAAAGGTGTAATTAAAGACAGGTGCAAAACAGGTTTGCAAGAGGAAGAAATAAATATGAGGAAAGGATGAAGATGAAAACTCAAATAGGATAAAGCAAACCATCAACATCACATCAATGTAACTTATTTTTGCAAAACAAGTAAAACATAATTTCTGAAGAAATATTATGTAAAAAACAAAATATAATTATTCTCTTCTGTCAGAGTAAGCAAGGCCTCAGCTGCAATGCTATTAAAATACTTGTTTCCAGTTTTAAAAATGTGTAGGCAAGTGGGACACAGTCCAGAGTAGATCAAGAATAAAAACTTGGGGCTATGTTTGTATAAGCCAGAAAAGGACTGAGACAACAATTTTTCACTATGTAAAAAAATGTGTATCAGAGAGCGGGCAATCCTTTGTGGCTTTTAGACAGGCTGTTAGGAGAAACTTTGCAAATGGAAAGCAGGGGAGCAGGCTGGAGGCAGGACTGTACTTGGAGTACTTTTTAATTTCAAATTTTTGCCCTCATTTCACCACAAACTAGAATATACTTTGGTGCTCTTCTCTTACATATGAACTAATGCCTATTCAGACTTTTAAGAGATTCTTTTCAAACCCCTATTTTCCAGCAGTGCTTCTCCTCACCATTCGACTCACAACTGTCTTCAGCTTTGGGAAAACAGGCAGTGTGATGACCAATACCTCAGCTATTGTTGGGATTATGCTCTGACAGGCCCCAAGAATGGGGTCAGTTCACAAGCACCCTCTCTTAGGCAAGGACTAGCTCCCCCTTCAGCAACTAGCTCACCTTTTTGCAGTCACAGTGGGGTACAAACCAGGGCTGGGTTGTTTGGGAAACAAGGTCTGTTCAAGGGAGAAAGATTTCTCTAAATGTTAAGATGCTGAGAATAGAGTGCAAGATCACGAGCAGCACCCAGGACACGCAGAGCCAACACTGTGACCCAAGCAGAGCCCAGCTGTGCAGAGCACTGACCTGCAGGTCTCTTGGTGAGGTTGAGGCAGTCAGCGTGGTACACCTTGGGGCAGCCTGACTTCTTGCAAGAGACCAGCTGCCCTCCGTCCCCGCAGCTGAAACACTCATCCTCCCGCTCCTTCATCACCTCCGCCTGCGACCTGCGCTTCATCTGCGGCCGCCTCTTGAGCTTCTTGGACTTCTCCTCGCTGAGGCTGGGCTGGCTCTGTGGGTGAAACAATGTGGGTTAATGCAGGGCTCTGCTTCATCCATCTGCTCCCTTCCCACTGCAAACCCTGCTGACAGAAATCCTACTGCCAGCTATACCTGAGCATCTCTAGCGCTGCTTAGTATTTGGCAACCAGTTTACTACAGCAAAAAGCTCCCAGTTATTTTCAAAGAGCCTGGAAATCCTGCAGCAAAGCTTGGCTGAATATGGGATTTATACAACTAGCAACAGCAGAATGAGGAGCTGGGGCTGCCTGGTGTCACTGAGCTTGTTCCACTTCTAACAGACTCTTCAGGTCAAAGCAGTCAGGCCTCCTGGCACACATGACTCAAAATGATTCTATATCCAGGGCCTTTCTGTACTTTTTTCACATTCATCACTTCCCTCTCTGTCTTCAGTCTGAATTTATCTGTCATCAGTTTAGACTTATGTCAATGCTGCTCTTCTGCACCAGAATCACAGTATCTTTACAGTTGGAAAAGACCTCCAAGATCACCAAGTTCAACGTTTGAAACTTTTCTATCTCCTTGAAGAAACCTCTGGGACACTCTCCTAATTGCAAACTGAAACTTTCAGTCAGCATACTCAGTCTTCCCAGTGGCTTTTCTTTGCCCTTACTGAGTATATTTATCCCAAAGAAAGGTTACAGAATTACACATGCTACCTCAGATAACACCTCACAGGCAGTGTACACAAACATCAACACTTAGCCAAAAGAACAGGGGACTCCGCCAAAGCACTGCCCCCATTTGCCTTTTCCACAGCTGTCACACCACACCTCAGTCCTGTGGCAGCTGAGCTGCACAGTGGCTCCTTCTCCATCACAACTGCCCAGCCATAACCTTCTCATGGTGGATTTGTTTCTTCTGTTAACCTTCCCAGGTGTGTACTGTGGAATATCCAATCTCCATTCCCCCTATACTCAGTTACTCTTTTGCAACTGCCCCATCCTCTCACTCTCCCACGCCAATGACAACCGAACCCTGCATCATCAGTACAGTTAAATTATCCGTGTAGTGAAGTAACTACAACTGGACACAGGACAGGCAAGTAAATGCTCTCTTCTCTGGCCTAAGGCTTCCTCCAACCCTGCTCTTCCAAGCCCCCTCCAAGCCAGGCTGAACCTCCCATTCTGTCAAACACTCAACTCCACAAAGATGATGCTTCTTGCCTCCAGTCCTGACCTTATCAAAGCACCATTAGTTTAGTTTATCTAAGGAGACATAAGGTAAATTCTGTGCCATTTTCTATATCTCCTTGTGTTCAAATATGTGTTCTCCATGCAGGACATCTCTGTGTGCTGAGACAATGCCTATGAAGCAATTCTTACATCCTTTATTCTGCATAAACACTGTGCATAATATTTCCATCACCAAAACATTTAAAAACCTTGGTCTCCAGACCTATAATTTCAGAACTCTGCAGTTGGCTACCCAGCTTTCCTGTCAACAAGGAGTTATATCTCTTGACTGTTTCCTTCCCCTTCACATGTGGATGTTTCTGCTTTCATACCATCATTCCCCCTGACAATGGGGACAAGCCAGGCCTTTCTTATCACTGAAAATGCAGGCACTGAATGCCTCCATCTAAACTATGCCACCGATTTTCAGCGCCTACTTCCTTGGCCATGTAATTACAAAGAGAACAAGAAAATCCCTTCACAGCTAATTTGAATGTCTAAGAGAGGTCTAACAGCTGGACTAAGCGATTCCCACTTGCTCCCTGCAGTACAATAGGCTCCCAAACATTCTTCCACACTCCCAGTTAGAAGGCACTTTTAAGAGTGAACTTGAGTATAATCAGTTTTGTCTTGCTGTATCTTCAGGAAGCTTAAAAATGCATCTATTGTGAGGAGAATTTTTTTAAAAACCACCCCAAGGTACTCTTTTCTCTGTATTGTTTTTAGCCCATCTCATCAGGATGGAATGAGTCGCCTCAGATATCACAATGGAACATGAATGCCAACTAAAGGGCACCTTTCTCTGATTTCCACTGTGCAACCTGCAATTTCAAGGCAAAAATGACAGTCAAACCATGTATGACACAGGGGCAGCACAAAATCAATTGAACTTTAAATCGAAACCTGAAAAAGAACTAAATACATCAGATGTGCAACTCGCCTCAGCTGTCAGCTTCTGAAGACATCCATTTTTTATTTTTATAAGTTAATTTTTCTGAAGAACTAATCTCTGAACAATTTATAAAATCGTCCCTATATATTGATGGGGTTCAACAACTGATGCTGGAGGTTTTAACCCTTAACTGTGGTCCCAGCAGGATCCACATGCCAGAGCAGAGGGATTACAGACTGAGTTGGTGAAGAACTTATAACAAACCAACAGCTGAGACATAGATTTAGCGGGTGACAGCTGGGAACTTGGCCAACTGCTCCTGTTATTTCCTTTTCCCAGTGAGAACCAGCTCACACAAGGAGGTAATTGAAATCAATTCCTGCTACTGCAACATTACAGTTACAAATCAAAGCCCTCAAAAAGTCAGTGAGTTCTAAAAGCTGGTGGTTTTTCTACCACAGATATGGCAAATTTCTTATGTCTGTCTGATGTGTAAAAATTGGACACTTCATTAAAACCAGAATAAAACCAAGAACTTTACTGCAGAATAGACGGTGAGGTAGCAGCCTTCTGGCTCTAAAACAACTTCAGTGTACAGGAATGTGAGTTTGCTGGCATTCCATGCATGCACACAATTTACTCAAGCCTTTACTTTGGGAAATGGCCTGAGTTGTGTTTTCTTGGTTATGAAGTCTTTCCTATGCCTGTCCTTTGCTCCTCTACTGCTATGGAAATTGTCATGAAAAGAAGGAAAAAATGGGAAAAAAAATTAAAAAAACCCCCAAAACTCTTTCTTTTGTTCTTTCAGTGTAAAATAAATCTTCCTGTCATTATTTATAGAAACTCTGATAACTGAAGACTAAGATTTGTTCTCTCAGAATGAATACTCGAATATTTAACTCATTTCAAACACTGCTCCCATGGCCACACTGAAATGATCTCTTCAACCTGAAACCTCTGCAACCAATGAATGATACTTATCTATGCAAAGAGGTGATTTGGAAGAACAAAAGCTTAAAGGATGCATCATACCTTTGGCCTTACTCCTAGGAAGCCACTGCAGTTTGGGGCACCACACTTACAAACGGTCTTTCCATTTCCCAAACACTCCAGATTGTAGTTGAAAGTCAGCTCAGTCCCTGGCACAAAAGCAGATCAAAACCAAGTTAATGAATTACAGAGTAAAATGTTTTACTGCTGAAGTAAAAACACTTTTTAAATATAATGTCACAAATGACTGCCACCACTACACAAGGACACCAAACTATTAATGTCCCCATAGATGTGTGTAGATTGAAAATTCAGTGCAATTCCTCACCCCTACCACATTTTACAGCTAAAAAGGACATTAATCCGGTAGCAGGGCCCTGTATCAGCCTCCACCGACACCGGGGCTCTGTGTATTTCATCACATTAGTGCTGCTGTTAAGCCTCATGAATACCCATATGAAAATAAAAATTAAACCCCTTTCCAAGAAATTACAAACCCTCCCTCTTCCCTACAGAACCCCCGAGGCTACTGCAGGCATTGACAGTGTGTTCCTTACCAGCTTTGATATTTACAAGTGCGAAGAGCCCGACTCGAGTGTCACCATTCACACACCATTTCTGAGTCTCACAGTTGGGCTGGCAGCAATGGTTCATGAACCGAGCATAGTTGCCCTTTGGCCCAGCATCAATGATTCGATCCTGGAATTGCAAAAAAACCCCACAAACCACCCAGAAAACCACATTTCAGTCATCTGTCATCAACTGCAACCAACCAGCTCTGATGCCTCTGGCCAGTGCTGGCAGATCACATGGCAACACAACCTCCTGCACATCATCCTTCTCCTCAAAGACACAGGGCTCCCAAACAGCCAGGACAGTGCCACTGGTGCTTTCTGGGAAACAAGGTCTCCCCGTGGCATCAGTACTGGATAAATACCACCCCAGCACACTTCCAAGGCAGTGCTTGTGGTTCCTGGCCCCAACTTCTGTTTAAAAGCGAAGCAGCAGTTCCCATTTCTTACATGTCAGTGTACAGAAGGAAGACAAGAAGAGTGTGTAAGCTGAGGTAGACTGATGGACAGCTTGTTACAGGGCTGGGGAGGACAGAGAAGCTGCAACTGAGATTTGCTTTTGTAGTAATGAGGGAGATATTAACACTTGGGTCTGCCTCACCAGCCAGACAAGGAGAACAAGGTATGGTGAGTGTGAACTTGCAGCAGGATGAGGGGAAAGATATAAAGCAGTCACTGTTATCCTGTCCCGCACTCAACAGCTTCCTCCCCATGTCTGCTCTCATGGTTTCCTTCTCATCTTTCCATGGTTGAGTGACAAAGTGCGGAAAGCAGCTGACAAAACCACTTAAACCTCTGAAAATCAGGAGCTCATAGCAACAACCTGGCTTGCAGGACCCACTGGGGAGCCTGTGGGTGTAACTAAATCCATCACTCTACTGAGAACAGCAAGACCTGAGATCTGAACTTAGATGAAGGTCATGCTGTGCCTATAACTTGTATGTCTGAGGGCTGATGTCTCTTCTGGCACACACCAGCCCTGTTCTGGGCTCTCCAAGGTTCCCAAATTCAGCCTCTTATGCTGAAGCAGAATTTACGGTCCTCAGACAATGATTCTCACCTCTTCTGAACAAACTCAGGCCATATCTGTTCAGACTTTCCTTGTAACCCTGAAATCCAACCTGAAGCTCCTCTACTACAGGTTAATTCAGTCATTTCAGAGGAAACGCTCATCAGCAATGTTTAGCCCCTTTTTACTAGACAGTATCATGCATTCCTTCCCATCTTTTTACTTCTGTTTAGGACACTGGCAAGAGATTCTTTGCACATACCTTATCCAGTGTTAACATGTAGAAATTGGTAATGTCGTGCTCCTGAGCGTAGCGGATTCGGGCTCGGCACTCCTCTTCGTCAATTAGCTCCCCAACATACTCATTAACAAATTCACCCTGCCAGACAGAAAACAACAAGCTGGTAAGACAAGACAAATTATCTGCAGGATGGAGGAATGTCCACCTTTGTGCTAGAACTTAGCTCCTGTTTCCTTCCTAAAGATCTCTCCCTGTGCTTTGCAGCCAGTTTGACCTATAACCTTCACCAAGAGCCCTGGACCATACATCCGTTTCACATGCTCAAATAACTCAAAACAAATAAAGAACTGTGACCATCAGGTTATTCTTTGTGCCAAAGAAAGAATTAGCATCCAGGGACAGCACAGAAGTTAACCACAAGAGCAGCACTTTGCTGCAAAGCTCAAAGCACTGTCCTAATTGCATTCCAGCTGAAAACAATATCCCTTTGGGGACCAGCCACATGGAGCAGCAGGATGCACCTGAGGCACCTGCTCCTGCAGTGAATCCATGGAGTTCTCCTGTGCTGAAGTACTGCAGAGACCGTACTCGTCATTAAAGAGAACCCCAGCTCTGCTCCAGTGGGGCTAATAGGTCCCCTCCACTAAATAACAGAGTGTTTCTGTTTCCAGACTGCTGAAACAAGCACATGGAATGGCAGAAACATCCTTTAACTGCCTGCACAGCAGGCAGCAACGTTTTCAACAAGACAGATTCACATTTTGCCTCTTCTATCAAGGCCTTCCTCTTACCATGTCATCCCTATTCCTTTTTCAGACATTCTTCTCCTACTATGCTAATAGTCCTCTGTTTCACTTCATCCTTTATTAGCTTTGGCGCTCTTTTGGATTTAACATTCTTCCTCCTTTATTCAGCACAGATGTATGTCCAAAGAATTACTATTCTTTGCATTTAAAAAATACATACAAGTGTTTTAGGCAGAGATAATCAGTTTCAGAAGTAATAACAGCCATCTCCAAGACACTGCCCTTTTTTAAGATCCAAGCCCTGGTTTCTGACACAAGACCCTCATGCTGGATAAGCCTGGCTAGTCAAGAACAGGGGGGAGGAATAATCACTGCTCCCCATCTGGAAATCCTGAGCACCATCCCATTGTTCTTACAAGCAGACTGACCAAGCAATCACCTTTCTTACCCTGTGGGACATCAACATGAAAATCATTTTCTCAGTCAGCTGAGCCAGAACACTCTTATCAAGACTGGAAACATTAAATTCATCAATATTTTTTTCTAAATGGCATTCTACAGCAAGAAGTCTTTTTCTAATTCAGTTTTCAAACCACGAGTGATCAAGAGAGCAGCGATGAGAGAGACTGACACAGAAGGAGCGTACGTACCTTCCTGATGTCTGTTTTGGCCTGCAAGCCCCAGCCTCGTGCCAGCGTGCGGAAGATCTGTACCTCGGGGTACTGGCGCTTGGAGAAGCACTGGTTCTGGCAGCGCTCACCAGCAGGACACACCATGGGGTGGCACTCGTACAGCAACATGCGGTTGATGCACTCCGAGTCCAGGCCGCAGGGGTTCTCGTCCGTGGGTTTGCAGTTGCAGCGCGGTATCTCGGACAGGTCTGCAGTGAAGATCTGCACCTTCCCCACCGGCCGATTCACCTTCAATGCACACCAGGAACATGAGCTCTTGGGAGCTGTAGGTTACCCCGACAGGCACTTCTATACTCCACCCTTGCCTACGAGCTGACAGGCTGCAGTGACTTAGTGACAGCGAGGGGCAGGACAGAAGTGCAGGCACAGCTGTACTTCTGGGAATGCTATTTCCAGAGGCAGAAGGTTAGAGGAAAGAGCTCAGGAGGATGAAGGTTCCCCATTCACATCACCTGGTGCAATGTGTATTCTGTGACCCTGGAAAGGTGAGAGGCTGCCAAGTGTCCCCCTCCCATAATCACTGAGCCCACATCCAGCTCAGGTGGCCAACCCAGTGCTCTTGCTGGGTACACATCATCCCTGTGATCAGCAACAAACCAAACATTCTGCATCAAACTGAACATTTTCCAGTCTGAGTGTCAGGTGCTTTTCCTCAGCTTTCCCTTACTGCCCTGTTTTTTGAATGTTACCTTCAAGCTGGTTTGTGCTCTCAGCTGTCACACCTGTGACAGAAGGCCTACCATGCAGTTACCTCCCTACCCAACTGTCCTGCAGATGTAAATGGAAGCCAAACCAGACAAGACTGGGGTTGGAAGGCCCAAAGAGGAGCTCAGAGTTAAGCCAAGGAGCTCTCTAAAAACCGCTCCAGAAGGAAGCAGAGTGCAGCACCATGTGGAGAAGCGACTGGCGTGTCTGTGGCATGAGCTGGGTCCTTGGGGTTTGGTTAAAGGCAGCGAACGCTGAAAAGCAGGCAACAGAGAGTCAGGACTTTGGAGAGAGACACTGAAGAAAAGCTCCTTGCTGTTCCTTTCCCTGGGTGAACCATTGTCTTGCTTTCCTCTCCCAGAACACGAAAGGAAGGGATTTTAGCAAAACTATTCCAGGCCCCGTTTGAGTTACTTAGTCCCACCCACAGAGTTTCCACACTGACAGCCTGCCTGAGGCTGGCCCGGTCCTGATCCCCCTTTGTTTAAACACAAACCCTGCAGAAATCCCTCATTAATCTCTTCAACACAGTCTCCCCCACCTTCCTCCTAGAACTGCGTCCCACCTCCAACATTCCTTGTCATTCGGGTTCTCCTCTGCTGCTTCCCATCTCTTACCCAGACTCATCACCTCATTAAGAGTGGCAACACTCACAGGATTGTGTCAATCCACCATTGGCACCGCCACTCCACATGACACATGCCCAGAATACCTGCCTTACTCTCTGAGGCACTGCTGGAAAAAACCAGGGCAATGCTTGGACTAGTCACAAGCCTGACGTGATGAACAATCCCAAGTATATTTTGCAGCAGCCTCTTGTGTGGGTGTTCCTTGGGATGGACTCGAGGTGCTGATCTCCTTAGAAGGAGTGGACACAAACAGCTTCAGCCATTCCACCCTGAAGCCTTCTCCAGTTCACCATCTGCTCCTGCAAACTGCTTTGCTTTCAGAGAGACAAACAGCTTGCACCCAGACCTCAGAAAGGCTGCCATGACTAATGACCACAACCGTCATTATTTATATAAAAGGATATTTCAAAGGCTCTAAACTGCTTCCAAAGTTCCTTCATGTTGCGGCCAGAGAGGCCTAAAAATAGCTATAATGAGAAACTACTTCCTCCACTGAAGCTGCCTGGACCATACTGCTGCCACAGCATTCAGCTGTGCTCTTTACACCACATAGTAACTCATGCAGGATATACCTGCCTAAAAATCCTAGCTAGATAGAAAAAGTGGCAGAAATCAGTCAAGCTTTTATATTCTACCACATAAAAAAGGGAAGGAGCAGACAGAAGCAATAAAATAAAGAACACAGCCCCTGAGTCAATGGTTTCTGGTCAGTTGGGATCCACTTCTCAGACAAGCACATGCTTGGCCCCAGCTCTCCTCTCAAGTCACCTCCATCCTGTAGGACTTCAACTACTGCTCTAACATATTAATATTAATAACAACAATAACAATAACTGACAGCCCTTAACATGAATAGTTCTCCAAAACTGAGGGAAAAGGTTGATACTGCAGCCTGTAGATCTGTTTCAGTCACCAACTGATACAGAGACAGATATAAAACAAGAGCAGAGATGATAGAAGATACTGTGGGTTACCACCCTCCACACAGCCCTGCTGCACTGTACCCTGACCACCTCCTCTCCTGCACCACCGGGTTTGCCCACCTTGCCATCAGCAGCATTTGACCATACTGAGCATTAGCAGCCCTCTGCCCTGAGTTCTCAAGGTAGAGACACTTCCTTCAGACCACACAAATGACATGGACAGCACAGACATGACCCAATCTATTCCAGCAAATCAGAGCACCTCTGTTACTGCAGCCCAGCTTGCTGAGGATGGAAAGAGGATCAAAGAAACCTTCAAGAACAGCCAGACACCCAAACATCAGAAATGTTTCTGTATACCTGTGAATCACCTGCACCGACAGCTCAAGACTTCTCTTCCGCACCTGCCCCCCACCACCTCCCCTCACCTTGATGTGTTTGTAGGGAGGAGGTTTCTTGTCATTCTTTTTGTCTTCCTGAAGTTGTCTCAGTTCTTTCTGTGCCTTCAACTCTTCAAATCTCACAGCAGCTTCCTGAAGAGCTAAATGAGAGAACAGGCCCTGTTATAAGGAACTCCCTCTGCTTGCACAGAGCTGGGCAGCCACTGCCCAACCCAGTGCTTACAAGGTTCAACAGAGGAGGGTGAAGAAAATGCAGGAGGGAAGTGCAGAAATTACTGTCAGGGGTCTGCTCATGGGTGATGAAGCATCCCATCTGTTGGCTATCTTTGCCTGCCCTCCTGGGCAGAGATGCCAAGCAGCTGCAACCACAACTCTCAAGTGCACTTTTATACCAAGATAATGACTGCATTACACAGAGGGAAGCTGACACAGCAGCAGCTCACTTGAATTTTGAGATGTTATGTCAGAGCTGGACAAGAGTTTGAGATCTACCCACCCTTCTCCCTCTCTGGGAGTCACCCACACACTCTGAGCATCCTGAATGATACATAAGCAGCAGCTCATTCTACAAATTTAACTTCAGTTATAAGAAGACATTTTTCTCTGCTGCAAGACTGACACTTTTCCAAAGAGGAATGAAGAGGGAAAGACCCTGTACTTCCCTGGATGAAGACAAGTTACCTTTTTTGTATATGCCATCCACGCCCTTCCCCATCTTGTCTTTGCTGCTGACATCACCTTCCATGTAAGGGAACACACGAGCCTGGTGGGTCCACAGGTAGTCCTTGGAGCCAAAGAACAGCACAGGGAACTCACCGATGTCATGTTTCATTTTTTGGATGTTGACAGGAATTGTCCTAGGATGGCAAATCTCAGCTGGCCACCACCTGCAACACAGGGAAGGGCAGATGAAACCTCTGGCTTCCCCCACTTCCAGCCACCTCAAAAGTATGCTACTGCATGGAGACATGGGAAAAAGTGTGTGAGGGCTACCAGCAAGGCTGGTGGGGAGAAAAGAGGCTACTGGAGGTGGAAAGCTCATGTTTTACCAGCAATGTGCATGCAAAAAAACCAGAGGCCTGCTGCAATGAACCCTGCAGAGAGGGGCAGCTTCTCACCTCCATCACCATGAGCACTGCATGAAGAAGGGATAGGGACAAGTCTGTTCTATCTTCACCTACCTGTAGCGCCCAACTTTCACCCAGACTACTTCTTTGTAGTGTGGCTTTTTGCCTGCCTTGCAATCATTACAATACCAGCTTCCCTCTGGCATCTCAATGTTTAGACACTCACGGTGAAACGCAGCCGGGCACGACTCGCAGCATAGAAGGCTGCCCCCTGCAAAGAGAAGGAGGAGGAATTTATCAGTCACTGTGCAGAAGCCCTGCACTCCCCATTGCCAGACAGACCCGGAAAAAGGGAATGATGGTCTCCTGGGGGAGAAGCCCTGGGGGAAGCCCTTTTCAAAAGCTGAGCCCTACTCATGGTAAAAAAGGGATCCAGAAAAGGTCCTAGTCTGAAGCTGCACTTAAATGCAGAAAGACAGGAAGGCAGTCTGTTCTCTGCAGTTCCCATTGGGACATTCTGGATGGGAAAAGCTTCTGCCCTTTGTACCGAACCCCTGCCAGGGCGTTCCCTGAGGACCCAGCGCTGGCCATCTCACCTTCTGAGCAGACAAAGCACCAGCTGACGTTGACGTGCTCGTGGTTGCGGCAGCCCCTGCGCGCAGTGAAGTGGTTGGGGCAGATGATGCTGTTGGAGGCCAGGACCACGGAGCCGGCGGCGAGGCAGAAGTCGTTGGAGTGATACGCGACCGGACACCGCACACAGCGCATCAGGCGACCTGGCAGCCACAACACAGTGAGCCTCTGCAGGATCACCACTCTTTCCTATTCCAACTAGACTCTAAACTCATACCTAAGCTCAAAATGAGCTTTGGAGAAGGAAGCTAACCTTTAATTTTTATAGACCACCCATGATATACTCACTGGATTCCTATTAAGTTACTTAATATAACTAAATATAGATAAAATTAGAAAATCTGTAATACCTATACCATAGATAAAATTGTATTATTTAGAAGTGAAAAACCTCCTGCATGCCGTGCAGAAACAGTTCAAGAGTTCACAGACTGGGACTGCTTCCTATCATACACAAATAATTACTGAATCAGCTCCGACAGTAATTACAGATGGGGTGTTCCAAGTGCTTAGCTGCACATAATGAAATCAATCCATGTAGCTTCTGAAAACACCAGCACTTGCCTCTTGTTTATCAGATTTTATCCTGAAATTCCAGAACTTCCAGGCAATTCAGACTTCCCTACAGGCCTAGTTTATGTGAGGTTTTTGAGAGCCCGATTTCAGTTCCCCACAGCAGATTATAAACAGGAAGAAGAGGTAGGAGAAAAGGGGTAAATGTGACCACCAAGAAGCAGCAGCCAGTCAACAAATGATCAGTGGGGAAGTGGCTGGCTGTGGGCTTTTGGCCTTGGTGTTCTTTTCTACACCAAATACTGATAAATGGAGGCAAAAAAGCCAACTTTGACATGGACTCTGAGGATAAAAAATAGAGCCAGTCTTATTGTCACCCATCTTAAGATACCATGGATTAAAGAAAGGCAGATCTAGAAGCAAATAAACACAGCATTCACGGAAGTTTTGAGTTTGATAATGTGAAATAAAGGTCAAGGTATTGCTGCAAACAGCTCAAACAAATGTTTGCCTGGGAAGCTTAGCCCAAGGGTGTCTCCACTACCAGATGAGAGTTTACATAGAAAAAAATGGATAAGTAGAACAATATCATAGTTTGCCCTGTGCTGCTCTTGATGCTGCTGTGTTGACAGCCTGTGCTGCTAAGCAAGGCACCATCTGCAGCACTGGCACAGTGAGGAGCAGGTGGGAGAAACACGAGCGTGTCTGTACAGCTCCAGAGATTTACTCAAAAACCCACTGAGGCCTGAGGCAAGGCTGGGCGTGCAGGAATCCGAGCCTCTGGACAGCCTTAGAACATTCCAGCTGCCGTGTCCGACCATGGGGAGTGCTGCCGAGCCTCACAGTCTGACACCACCCCTTCCACTCCCCTGGGAGCAGCTATTCCTTAGCAAACACAGCCAGTGCTGTGGAAAGGTCACAAAGACAACAACGCAAAGAACTGGTGAACCAGGTGGACATGAAACAAAGAAACATGAAACACCGGGTGACTGCACCCCTCCAGACCACCCTGGAGGACTCAGGTACCTTTAGAGGCGGAGATGTTTGCTGGGTTAGCAGCATGGCAGGTCATGCAGATGTGCAGGGAGCAGCGGAAGCCCTTGTTCTGCATGACTGTGGGTGGGTATTTCTGTATGCAGGCTTCGTGGTAATACTTCCCACAGAGGGGCAGCAAGCACCGCTTCACATCCTCCCCGCAGCTCTTGCACACAAAGCAGGTGTGGACCCCTGGAGAAAGAGCAATGCACTGGTCACACAGGAGGGCTAAATGAGGATCTGATGCTGTCACCAGGCTGCCTAATAGCACAGCACAACTTCCCAGCCTGCTGCACCCATCCCAGAGCACATGTCTCTGCACCAGGTTGGTTTGGCCTGAAGCTGCAGTACAACTCCACATCAAAATGAATATTATTACAGCTGGCACTTCAGGCCAGGGAAAGAAGAAAATAAAAAAAAAAAAAAAAAATCAATAACCCTACTTTGAGATTTCCTCCTTTCCAGCCTGAAAAAGACTCCTCCTCCTCCCCACCAGACCACTTTTCACAGTCCCAGGTAAGAATTTGTCTCTTTCCCAGCAGATCATGGACATTCACTTCTCTGTACACCAAGTCTGAATCAACAGTAAGGCTGGTAAATATATGAAGCTGTTATTAATGGTTTAAAATCAACAAAGAGTAGGTTTAGATTAAACACTAGGAAAAAATTCTTATGTGTGAGGGTAGTGAGGACCTAGCACAGGTTGCCCAGAGAAGCTGTGGGTGCCTCGTATCTGGAAGTGTTCAAGCCCAGGATGGACAGGGCTTGTAGTAACCTGGTCTAGTGGAAGGTGCTCCTGCCTGTGGCAGAGGGGTGGAATTTGATGATTTTTAAGGTCCCTTCAAACCTAAATCACCCTGTGATTCTATGATTCTAGTTAGAAAGTCATTATCAGACATCAAACTAATAATCTGAGGACTGAGAGCTACTCAGCAGCCCTATAGCAGGGACATCAGTCAAGGAAGCACCAGGTAAGCCCACAAGTCCTGCACTCACAGAGGCTGCCCTACCTGTGGAACACTCATTGCAGATGAATTTGCCCTTTGGCATCTCGGAGAGCCCAAGGCACTGCAGGTGGAAAGCACCACAGCACTGCGCCTCACACAGCAACAACTCCCCTGGCTTCTCACAGATCTGTGGGAAAGAAACACGGTATCAGCTTGAGCAATTTTCTTCCCTGCAGCATCCCAGACAGCAGCAACCCCCATGCTGGCCAGAACTGCTGGCAAAGACCCCCTGGGGTAAAATGCTGCATTTTCCTTGTGTAAGTTAATTCAGGTAGTTTGTGTATAACCACTGTAATTTACCATCCATTCCCTGATACCCAACATTGGCTAAAATCTATCTTACACTGGTCACAACTCCCTAACCTCTGTGAACTTTAAGAAGAAGAAAGGCTATTGCAGGAGAAATGCTTGATAAAGAGCACAAAAAGCTGATAAGTTCTACAATAAGCACTTGGAGGCTACCTGGGCTTACCTGGGGCACCAATGTGTCCCAAAACTTACACAAAAATACTTTACAGTGAGATAGTTTCAAAGAGATTTCTTCAAGAACACTACCTGACACACATTCTCCTTGAGGGCTGCTCCTCCTCCACGCTCCCCCTGTATCTTTTTGGACGAAGGCACTCCATGGTCATTTTCTGACCCCTCCTCATGACCTTCTTTGGGGCTTGCAGCAGTCCCATGAATGGATGTCTCCCCCTTTAAAGAGAAAACTAGAATTAGAACTGTCAGTAGTGCCTATCCTGACTTGGAAACTACAAATTCAGCACTTAATGAGTTTGGCAGGTGATCTGTGTGTTACCCACCCTGGAGAGAACGTCCCTCATACTGTTCCACCAAAGGATTTATGGGAAAGGGAAAAGGAAGAGCTCTTAGTTTACCAGCTGATTAAAAATACACACTCAACACAATTATCTTCCTGTGCATAACCCCTCTCTGAGCAAGGAGTAAGCCCTGAATGGAAACAAATCAAGTAGGCTAGTAAGTCAGAAGCATCCTAGGATCTACTTGCTCTAGAAACACAAATGAAAAACTTCAATCTTCATAGCACCTAGCATACAGTGTCAACACACTAAATGAACTACATTTTTCCTCTACACTTATCTCAGCTTGTCCTAACCCATGTAAAATAGAGACACAAAGGTACTCGAGGCCTGTGCTGGTAATCAAGTCAGCCAACCCCAAAACGAGCAGCACAGCAGGACATTTACACCCCATCCTGACTGAGGTGTGGAGTCTCCCACTGTCCTGTACAAGTGTACAGCACTGCCTGTAACATCCACTGGTGAAAGCATCCTGGGGAGAAGATGGGTTTCAAATGATAAAGGCCCAACCACACACTGTGCTCAGGCACTAAGAGGGAAGAACAGCAGGTATCCTAGAGACACTTGTTTCTACCACAAAATACGGCTGTCCTGCAGCTACGCTCAGCATCAGCGCCACGGATTTTGTCAGGACAGGAAACTAAGAGCTAGGAAACACCATTCTGCCAGCTTCCAGCCCACTTGGGAGGTCTAGGGAACACTGCAGTGGCCTCACCAGCCCCAGCTGCCACTCCACAGTAGGTACAATTTAAGGACCATTACTACTGCACCAAAGTGATGCCTTTAGCTACGTGCTTTGAGCCAGAACATTTTAAGGACTCTGCCACTTTTAAATATGCCAGCTCACTGCAGGTAGCTGAGTGATCTCATTGCACAGCTGCCAGCTCCTCCCTGGGTCACCAAGCTGTAGCCACTGTATACCCAGGCACAAACAGTACACCTGAGAGACCTTGTGAGGAATTCCAACTGCTGGCAGAAGCAGCAGCCATCACTCCCACACCTCCAGGCCTGCTTGGTGCAGGACTGTCCAGCTAACAATCACGAGAGGGAGCTTTGCACCACTTTCTGCATGGGAAAGTCTGAGCTGTGGTGCTACTAAAGCCTGTAAGCTGAATTGAATGGCTTTTGAACACATTTTAAAACCGGGCAAAAAAGGGATATCAGTATCTTCTAAAGTTTAAAGCTGGTAAGAACCTGGAGCTAGTATTCTGCTCAGATAATGATGATTTCTTTGCCTGGAACTGTTGGCTTTTTCCCTTATTCCCTGAATGTAGCAGTATGATTTTATTTGGGGACACTTTAAAGCCATGCACCTTCTGTGGAGCAATGATGCACAGATGCACTGAAGTTATATTGAAGTACACAATATAAAGATGAATGGTATAAACTGACTTCTTTGGAAGAAAAAAAGTCCCAACTACAGGCTACTGCCAGTTCAACATTCCTTACAGAGTACAGACTTTTTCTAACACTGCTCCCAGAACTGTCCAGGGAAGGGATGTCAGAGCTAGGCAGAATGGGTAAGGCCCCTCCCTTGTGAACACGGAAAAGGGCATTGCCACTCCAGGCCGTCACTCAAGGACCTGTCACTGTTTCCCCTCCTTCCTCTGCCCAGCACAAGCACTGCAACACCACATACCTCCTGCAGAAAGAAGGGCTCATCCCAGGTCTTCTTCCAGAACAATCCCTGCTGCTGTGTCTGGCGCAATCCCAAAGCCTGACCTGTTCTTTGGCACAGCCTGACCTTGGCTCACAACCTTGACAACCACTTCAACAGCATTTTCCATCCCATTCTGTCAGTCTCTTACTGCCCTGATGTTGTAAATTTGCACTCCTGGCTCCACAGACGGGCAAGGTCAGAGAAAGCTGCTTAACTCAGCCCAGGCTGACAAGCTTTCCTCTGCCCTCTTTTCCTTGGAAGGCAGCTGGACCCAAGGCTTCACTGTCCGGTATCATCAGACCATGTATTTTTTCCTAGCAAAGTGGAGCTGCTTGCTCAATGTGTGCAGTCACTGAGGGACCAGCATGGTCTGAATTCCACATGAAAGCACAACTGTATCTCCACAGCATCCCAATACCAGAACCCAAGCACTCACCTACACCAGGGGATGCACACCCACCACAGCAGTTGAAGAGACACAATCACATAGAAAGGGATGGCAGCAAAGGCGCCAAGCATTGACTTTTTTTTGCATCGTTTACACCATACCTGACTTCTGGTACTCAATACAAATGTCTACAGATGGAGGCAGTTAAGACTGGGTTTCCTCTGCAGTGAGTGGTGGGTACAGGATTCAGAGCCATGGTCTAGATCTTTGCTGCTCTGAACTGCCCCTCTTTTCACAGAGAATTTGCTGTCCCTTAGTGGTCACAGCAGACAATGTTAACTGCTCCTGCCCAGCACTGGCAAAGGTATTTGTACAGGCTGTTTTAAAACATTAGTCCAGCTGAGGACACTTCAAGAAGAACACTAACACCAGCGCAGGAAAGCTTACATGGACCAAGGGTATTACCCCAATTTATCAACTTTATCAGAAATGACCTTTCCAAAATGCAACAGGAACTGTTTGAAGTGGTGTGAGGTTTTTGTTCTCCTGTAAACCGTGTTACAACAACAAATATAACAATATTTATCTATAATTGGCTCCTGAAATACATACTGACTATCCTGCCTGCTGCTGAACCTGGGCCACTGGAAGTGAGAGGCGATGGCGAGAGGCCCAGAGGTGTCCTGCCTCTCCCAGGAAGTCTTGCTTCCCCTACACTTGCTGATAACTGGCTCATTCCTAAAAGGCAAAACGTGCTTGTCAGAGATATTTTGTATGCTGATCTTGCTAATATGTAGTACAGGGAATTGCCCCAATTATCCCTTTCTGCTGGATGGCAGAATGCAATCAGAGGCTCTTGTGAGCAGTCACAGACAGTCCCCCCCAGCCCCTCAATGGGGTTCTTGGCTCATCCTGGCGCTCAGGTGCAAGCAGAAGGGGCTGAAGTCCAGTCTATTGCTTGTGCTGGTGTGTGAAGGTCAAGAGTCCCACCCCCAGAGAAGATATTTTACAACAGTTTTGATTTTCTGAGGTGCAAAGCAAGACACCAGGCAAAAACTGGTTCCATGAATTCAGAACAGCTTCTCTCACAGAGAATTAGCTGAGTAGCAGTTTGAAAACAGAGCCTGAGTTAAACTTCATTATAAAATAGCTACTAGATCAAGGAGGTGTCTTCAGCCTAACCCCAGCTCATGCAGCTGCATCAGTAGTACAAATTCTCAAATGACAGGCCAAAGGATGCCTCTGGCTTAGGCTCTGCCGAGTACCCTGGGAAGGAGCAAACAGGTTATAGGGATGAGAGCATGAAGACCCAACAGTACCTCAGAGTGTGGGGTCTCCCCCAGCCCCTCCTCATTTTTCTCCTTCTTGGAATGGACTGCAGCAGAGGTATGGCGCTGTCTCTTCCGCTTCCGCTGTTTCTCCAAGAGCTTTTCAGAAGCTGGGATGCAACAGAAAGACCATTCAAAAATGCAGAAATAATTCCCTTGCTGCATGTGACACCAGCAAGTTCTGCAGCCTTTCTGAGAGATTCAGGCTGGATTCTCTATTCTTTGAGGGCCTAAGGGCTGGAGCAATACCAACCTCCAGGCACTCTGCCCTGCAGCCATCAGAGAATCACCAGTTCACAGTGGTTTAAACAACTTTTGCTGGGCTGCTGAACCCAGAACACCAAGCACTTACACACACAGTGCCACAGGCACTGATCCAAATGTCACGACAGTCTGCCCTGCTAGCCCTGCCTTCACTTACCTTCTCCCAGTTCCTGGAAGTGGGCTGGTGAGTAGAGCTCAGAGCTGTCACTCTCTGAAGGGCCAGTACCCTACAAACACACAGGGGAGTCAAGTCACTAGATGAAAACAGAGGCACACACTCCTCAGCCATGAAACCTTTTGGAATCACTGCAACACCTAATTTACCATCCACATCATGAATTCATCAGTCATCAGAGATTTTACAAGAAAATATTTGGTGTGTGTGTGATAAATCACACATGTAAAAGTCTGTCTCCGGGCAGGGAGTGCTCATCAGCACCATTCACTGTTTCCTGTGCTCTCTCAAAAAGGCTGCTAATACTCTGTAAGGTGCTGGGAAAAGACACTCTCTTCTGAGTTTACACTTTTACAGACCTTAAGACTGAAATACACTGGCTTCTACATTACTGCAGTGGTGATACCTGTACTAAGACTGTGCCTCACAGTGAAAGAAAAAGGAAAGAAGTGTTATTACTCAACTTTAGAAACAGTGGCAACAAGTTTTGTGCAGGCACATGATCTGAAATAAATACAAATTGCTTTTTTCCAAACCACGTCACTGAATATTGAGTATTCAGTGTAGGTGAGCAGCATTTTCTTTAAAAATCTGAACCAAACACAGTATCCTACATGTGATTCACCTCAAGCCTCCATCCTGCTTCAAGCTCTGCACTTACATGCATTCACCAACTCACTTGGGAAGGTAACAAAGAGAACACTGCTCAGAGGAAGTCTGATGGAAAAGAACAAAGCCTTAGGTTCAAGTTCAAGGGACACTGTAACATGACAGCCTCTGTGCAGAACATTTCTGCTCATACATTCCCAGCCAGCATCCAGATGATACTTCTCCATATAAATCAATTAAAAAAAAAAAAAAAAATGGAGATGATAAGCCAGAACTACCCAATCCCCATTACAAGGGGGGAGAGGTGGGGGGACAGTGGATTATTTCACCATAACACAGCAACCAGCACCTTTGGGAAGGGTAGACCTTTGCTCCTGGGCCACAGCCAATAAAAAAAACCACATCCCATTGCACTGTGTCTTGTTTAGCAGGATCTGCTGTCTAGGCCTGTTTTCTATCTGGTTTTTAAAAGTGCTGGAAGCTAAGTACCTTCTTTTGGGGAGTCCATTCCTCCTTCTTTGGCATAAAGGCAGTATCCAAGTCATTTGATTCCAAGAGCTTTTTAGTGGGCTTCCTTTGACGCTTGCTTTCGAAGTTTCCTGTAATGAAACCCTTCACATCAGATAAACAGGGGTTTTCTTGTCTTCAATCAGATTAAGACCATTAAGTAAATATCAGCCAACAGTTCAAAACAATCTGCTTCACCCTGTCTTTGGGATCATAAGCTCCTAGGGCAGTGATGCCAATTACCTGCTTCTGTACAACTTCAATAAAAACAGACCTCAGTCTGCCATGACCTTCAGGCTCACCTCAATATGTAATACAAAAATCCACCCACAGAAGAGAGGCTGTGAACTCACTGCCAGCAGGTAACACATGCTGGCAGCACAATTCACATCATAATTTCCCCAAACACTTTGATCTGCATAAGCCAGTCCTACCACTGACACAGCCCTGCCTACACTCCCACACCCCTCACACCAGCACTCATGCTGCTGTAGTAAACAGGCTGAAGATCACAATCCTGGTTTAACATACTTGAGAAAAGAAGCCCCAACAAAACTAGGTGTAACTTGCACTATTTTCACATTCAAGCTTTATCCTGGCCCTTGGAAGGTAGCAAATTGCTAGACCTGAGTTCCTTCACGAATTTTGGCAACAGTATAAACTTAGAACCAGGAAATGCTGATGCTGAGTGCAGACACTTCACAGCCACAGCCTGTTACCATCCCACCCCATTCATCCACTGGCTTCGACAGTCTCAGCTGTGCCCTTTGACACCTCTGTAGGCACAGCTCATCCATCACACTCCTAACCCTCAAGACAAGCTTCTGCCCACTCTGTGTGCTTCAGTAAGAGGTATGGGGAAATGAGGGAAAAGAGCTACACAACCTCTGCAGACTGGACGTTTGCTCCCACTGCTGCAGCCTGTTCTGTTCTCCTGTGTCTCCAATCTTGGGTTCCCATCCTCAGTTTTTCCTCCTTTAATCATCTCCAACTTCCCACTTCCCTGTGATACCCACAAGTCTTCAGAGGCAATCCCTCTTCCCTCACACATGACAGGCTAACTGACCTCCCACTGACCATAAATCTGCCTGCTTGATTTATTTTTTTGGACTACAAGCCCTTTAGGAACAGTGTGCCCTCCAAGTTAGCACAGCCAGAACACCAGGGCTTTAATTCTGGACATGTCTTTAGATGCTAACAGAGAATAAACGTACTCAAAGGAGACCCTGAGACTGACACTTCTGGAAAAGGCCCCTCAGACCACACTCCTTCTACACTGCGCCTTACTGAAAGCCAAGGTCCTGGCTTCCTGCTCACACCAGTCTCCAAAAATTTCTACAGATGCTTAGAACCTCTTAAGGAGAAAGTTTTTCCAGAGGGAGTTTTGTGCTACAGCTGCCTGAGCTCCCTAGGAGAGCAAAAGATCACTCCATGAACAATGCAGCTTAGAGTTTGTGCATCACCCTCAGCACAGCAATGTTCATCCAAGGGGGTTTACAGCAACAAGATACAGACTGTCAAGATAAAGGAATGTCACTGTTTGGAAGCACAGACAGGAAGGACTAAGAGAAGGAGTTGTGGCCTCCTTCATTTGGACAAAAGAGGCATTCTGTACCAGGATATAAGGAGGACCATCACAGTCCATAGAAAGCCAGCAGTAACAGGTCGCTGGACACCCTTGCACCTGCCCTCTCTCCCTTCCCAACACAGTAACAGTCAGTGAGTGAAGGAAGGCAAGAACAAACAGAACAGCAGCAGCATTCCTTCTCATGCTGCCCCAACCATCATTTCCCACTGAACTTGTGTTACTTTCACTTACAAAAGCAGCATCACATAACCTGCCACTCACCTGATTTCAGGAATCCCTCTTCTGCATCTGGAGAAGCAGAAACTTCAGAAGCATCCGAGGAAGACAGAACCACCACCTCTGGAAAATCTGAAGATCCTCCTGGAACTTGATTAGGGGGATCAGTGGAGTGGGATCCTAGTTCTGAGAACGACTCTGCTTCAAGGACAGGAGGGGACTCTTTGGTTGAAGATGGAGTTGAAACCAAAGAACTTGGCCCCCGCTGGGTATCTCTGTCAGGACTGCATTGTGCGGGAACGCCTCCTTCAAATTCAGACCTCGTCACAGAATTCACCTGGCATGGTGAAATATGTTGGTGAAAACATTCATCCTGCATGGCACTGCACACAGCAAGAACACTCAGCCACTAAGAACGTAAACACACACAGACCAGAGCCCTGGAGTAATAACCACGAGAAGAGCACATTGGCCTTCACCCACCTTTTGCTCCTGGCCCTTCTTTGATTTTTTCTTGGGTGCAAACAAGTGATCATATTCTTCTGCATATTCCAGAAGCCGTTTACTCGGCTTTCTAAGGCGCTTCCTCTCTGAATGTGCTAAGAAAAAGGAAAGCAGCTTCAAGACTGTGTTTCTGAGATGATCACAAGACATCTGTGGATAATAGCTGTTCCTGCCTTCTCTTCCAGAGGTTCCATGTGGGAAGAGCTGATAATTCCTTCTCTTTGAGACAGCCTAAAGAATTTTCGAGTTTCCTATTTTCCAAAATCCCAACTTAGCAGGGGGGATTTTTAAGGACTTCAAGTAGTTCAGGTAAGAAATCAAAACACATCAGACTGAGAAGCTCCTGAAATTTCACCCAACATGTCCCTACAAGCTACACCTAACTTGCCAGAACCAAAGGTCATCAGCAACTCATTATTCTTTTGCTGTTTACCCAAACTCTTTTGGTTTTAGTGCAGGGGCACAGGAAAACACTGTTTCCCCATAACACAGTTCAGTCACTGGTTTCACTAGCACATAAACTTAATTCCTTCCCTTCCCCTCCTCCCTGGCATTTATATACTACAAATTCCCCATCTGCTACTGTGAGCCCATTTATTGCTTTGTTTGTTGCACAATGGGATCAGGGAGCCAGTGACTGCGACACTTCTTGTCTCTGCACAGTGTGGCATCATAGCAAGGTAAAAGGTGTTTCCTCACCACAACTCTAACCACCCGTGCTGCACCACCTCAACACACCAAAGCATGGCAAGCTCCAAACACCTGAACCCCGACACTCTATAATATCTCCTCTCAGCAAGCTGCAAAAGCAAGGTGATGCACATTTACGTTTTTTTCCCGCTTCCCAGAATATCTCTAAATATCTCTGACTTTTTTCCTTTTTTAGCATTTGAAATGATTAAATAATACTGCCCAATGATTTCCCCTAGTCATGAAAACACCTGCGGTCTTCTGGAAGTTTTGGAACAAACAATAAATATTCTCTTTGCTTCACTTCATTTGTAGGAGGTGGCTTTTTCTTCTTTAAAACGGAAGCACTTTATAACAAAGCATTTCAATGCAATGCTTCTGAACGGGGATGCTGGACATGACTGCTACATTTTATTGTGGCTTTGTGGTTAAACAAGCATGAAAATGTCAAACTTGGCCAAAAGAGAAGAAAGAAACAACTTTCTCAAACACAGCTATTTTCAGCCTCTATTAACACTCTGCACAGGTGTCTGAGTGAAACACACATTTCAGCACATAAGCGTTTTGGGATGAGTATCCTCACCAGGCAACTATTTAGAGCCCCAATGCCATGCAGCGGAGCACACAGCACTGTGCCAGAAGGGCTGGCTTTGGCTGTTCCCAAAAGGAATCCTGTACAAGAATCCCAAATGCATATTGACAGTACCAAATCACAGACCTGCTGAAACTATTATTTATAAAATTGGTTTACATCAGCCAATTCCACCAATCTTCACTTCTGCCTCATTTGCTCTAAACCACTATACAAGGTTTGTGGCAAAATTGCCAATGCTGCCATTTGACTATGATGAAGACTTTTATGTAGTTTGAGCTCAGTGGAAATGGCACAGTTGTGACTGCAATCTGTTCTGATCTCTTACACTGAAGCTGCCTGCTTTGGGCAAGGATGGGTTACATCTTCTCAAAGCACTGCAGTCAGTCCAGTTTCCAGCTTCAGTTTCTCTACTTTCTAGCCCTTGCCTAACCTAAAGGAATGGTCTCAACACAGCACTAGAGGTTTACTCAGTCCCACCAGCACTGAGGATGTTACAGCAGCCCTGACAGAGGTGCTTGGTGCCTCCCCACAGCAAATCTGTACAAAAGGGGGTGGGTGTGCAGAGCTCACGTGCTATTTAGGGCAGGGGAATTAATTAGTTTACGCTGCAGTTGCTGATCTGTCACTTTTGCCAGCAAACCCAGGCCCTGACTGCTGCTACATCCCTGTGTGCAGCACCAAGATCCTCTACACTCTCTTCACTATTGCCACCTCACTCAGAGCCCACTGCCTTCCTCTCCCTCTGCCCTCTGAACTTCACTGCCTCTCAGCACCTCCTCCTCCCTAGCTCTGTCTACAGACCTTTATCTTCACCTCACACAGCATCACTGCAGGGATGCTTCAACCACCAAACCAACATGAAACCCTAAGAAGCTGTCTGGATCTTGGTGTGAAGGAAGAACCCACAGCACAGCCCAGAACATCCTCTCACCTCCTCTATACACTTTTCCTCAAAAACACAGAGCCAGCCAGAGGAGTCAGTGAATGATTAAGCTGGTCATGATTTAAAACCAGAACTTTTACCCCATGTGTTACACCCTATAGGTTTGTTTTCTGTGCCTGCTACAACTTGCCTTGGGCAGGTCCCACAACCACCAAGCCAGGCCCTGCCTTTGCCACAATTGAAAGAGAAGTGCAGGCCGCCTCCACCAACCACAAAAAGCAAAATACACACATCAAAATGTGCACTGAGGGAACATATAAGTGACAGAATGCACACAGGCTCAATATTATGAGTTGTATTATTTTATGGTATCTCAATTAGACTAGAGCAATTTAGTTTGGCGAAACCTATGCAAAAACCTAATTTTACTGGTTTTATTAAGGTGTGTTTTCCCAAATTCCCTGCAGAAGCTGGAGGATGGTACATGTTGAATATGGTTCTGTTGGCCCTATTCATTCCACACACCCTTTTATTTCTTCCTTTGGCTTTAACCAAATGTCCCCACCTCTGTGTGAGAGGCAGGACTCTCTTGCCTTTTTGTCCTCAGAAGCCTCTTCCTTCCTAGGTCATTTCCCTTACAATGGTGCTGCCTTACTTCTATCTGCCATATTCCAGACCCACCTCCAGCCCAGCCTCCCTGGCAGCTTCCCTCTCTTCTGTTCTCTTTCACCCATCAGGCAGCCACACCACAACTGTAAATTAGGAAATCTGCAGGGCTCCACAAGTCACTATGAGCAGCTAATATAATTCCACACTAAAACCCAAAGAACTCCCAACACATTGTCTTGAAATCCTACAGAAGAAACCAACGACAAACTATGTCAGCACTATGAAAGATAAAAACCAGAGCAGCCATTGAGGTTCAGTTTCCTGGAACTTTCTAGCACTGACCTCTCCCACTAACACCAAGCTTGTGGCACTAAGGAACACATTATGAAGGTGCAAGTTAAAAAAAAAAAAAAAAAAATAATTCCAGGCTCAGAAGGATTTATTTTACCTTTCATTGAGGAAAAACTAAAGATTTTTGATGTGTAAAATTTTCTGACCAATAACCCGAGTACAAGCTCATAATTACTCTGCCTCATTTGCTCTCCATGCTTACAGAGAACTCAAACCAAGGTCCCACGCTTTCTCCTGCTCAGACGTAGACATCTTCACATTGTCAGACAGCCACAAGTTCTGTAACTTATCCTTTAAATGAAAAAGTGTAAAATGTATACAAATACTCTGGCGCAAGTCCAGCTCCCTTACCTTGTGCAGAGAATTCAGACTGGGGAGCAAAGTTGCCAAGCTCTGTCTCTGAGTCCATCACACTGGTGTTTGGCTTACCACATACATTCAAACGTTTATCAACTAAGTCTAAACGATTCTCAAAGTCCTGAACTGCCAGGTCTCCCTCAAGCACCTTTGAATGAGGGGAATGCCTACGTCCCAAGCACTCATTTCCCTTCAGTGAAAAGCCACGAGAATTCAGGCCAAAGGCACTCTCCAAGTTTCCTTGTTCCCTAGATCTACTGATGTGCTTATTAGATCTAGCACTGCTTTGGTTAAAACGCTGCCATCGCTTTTTGGGTGCTACGTGATTTATATCATTAGACTCATCACCAAGAGAGCTCTCACTATTTGCCTCTGAATCCAAGTCTGGACTCTCCCCATTTGCAGCAGAATTGCAGCTCTCATTATTTCTACCAGCTTCAGGTCTCCTTCCAACACGACCTAAATTGTCATCAGATAAACAGGCAGAGTCTTCATCAGTTGAATGCTCTGTTAAATCAATACACTCTTTCCTCTCAGTATCTTCTGCCTCATTCCCTAGAGGACTGGTAACCGAACCGTGCCCACGGAATGCATGTTCTCCTGAATCTCTGGGTAACCGACTTAGTAACTTACTTGGCCCTCCTGGTTTTAAGTCCTTTCTGTTTGAAACTGTTTTATCTCCAAGCTTTGATGACTGCTTAGATTTTGAACAGTTGCGTTTGGACATGCAATTTGTGCCATTTGCCCCAGAAACAGCGGCACTCGCAGGCTCCCTTTTACCAGTACCAATCCCTGTCAACTTGGTTGGAGGATTGCGTGAAAATGAGGAGCTGCTTATAGCGGAGTTTGGAGTTACTGTTTCCTGGGCACAATCTCCATTTTTTTCTATTTTATATGGGGGACCTACAATAGACAAAGACTTGAGACCACTTGCAGAATTGCTTCCAGAACCATCACCTGTGCTGCTATTTCGAAATGGGACTATATTTTGACCAGTCATCAGTTGCTGCTCTTTTGTCTTACTGTCATGCATATCCTTCAACATCATTAACAAGGTGCTGAATTTGTAATCTGGTTCAATAGGCAAACGACCATGACCAGGGGCAGAAGCGAAAAGCGAAGGTACTGTGGCCTTTGCAGTGCCAGAGTCACTGGCATCATCGTTCATGGACCGATACGACAGTTCCTTCAGCTCTGACAGAACGTGCTTCACCACAGCTGTTTCGATTTCAGTAGAATCCCTGGGTTTCTCATGCATGTTGTTTAACAGTTTCTGACCATCAACTTTTCCACTTCTCTGAAGAGAATCTCTCGGAAGGCCAGAGAAACCTTTGGTATCTGAAGAGCAGCGATTCATGCCACCCTCCTCTTCTGCAAGAGAAGGCTCCAAACCAGCAACCTTTTCTTTATGTTTACATTTTATACTCCTGATTCGGGGTAATTTCACGCTTTTCGATTTCAAGATTGCTTGATTTGTAACAGCAGGCCAGGAGCTGTCCTTGGAAACACTTTGGGGGGTAGTGTGCTTGTTTGCAAGGGGAAGATTGTCATTTCTCACATCCGAAGAGCACTCAAGAGGTGTCAATGACATCTCAGCATCAGAGAAACCTACTTCAAGCTCCCCATCTGCAAATTCAGCATCGAATCTGTTGGTTACTGAACCTCCCAGAGGTTTGCGATCTCTGTGCGACTTCTTCCTGGCCCTTCTGCTGCTCTTCTGAGAAAGATACATGGAAAGTTTAATGTTTCCACTTGATGTCATAGGAAAGTCCTTCTCCACTTTATCTGAAGAATCACTAACTTCAAGAACACTAGAGGCTCTTTCTGAACTTTGGTCCATGGTATCTACATCACTGTTCCCACCATCAGAGAGGGAAGAGGATGAATCTGATTCAGTTAGTTTTTTCTCAACACCAGCATCAGATGCAGAATAGTGTATCTGTAACTTGGAACTGCACAAAATGCCCAGAGAGCTCTTCTCTCTCTCAAAAGATGGGCTGGAAAACAAATCCCCTTGGAGGGTGTTTTTCAGAGCATCACTTTTACGATTCTCACAGTCTGGTTTTAAAGGTGTCTTTTCAAAACGTCTTTCTCCAAAGGAGGAAAGCAAATGGTTTTCCCTGCTGCTACTGGATGCTGTCAGGCTGTTGGCAATCCGGCGAAGCTCATGAGACGCGTGTTTCTCTGGTAGGTCCCCAACAATCATGTTTCTAACTACGCTCTCTGGTGTTTTGTCTTTGATTTCTTCCCTCGATGCTTCCCCTCTTGTGCCACTCTTTTTTACTCTAGTCCTTTTTCTACTTTCAGAGGTTGTTTTCACGTGTGGCTTGATGAGCAATTTTCCTTTTTCACTGGCCACGTGTCTGGAGTCAAAGGCCAAGGATTTAAAGCAGCCGTTCAGCTGCGTGTCCCTTTCTGCTCTAGGGCCATTGGTGTAGTATTCCAACTCCACGTCCTTCTCACTGTCCGGCTCGCTGGAGGTCTGGCTGCACTTCTGATCCTCTGGCCCCCCAAGAAGAATGTCTTCCGCCTGTCCAACACTGACTTCCCACTTAGCCCTTAATCTCTGAGGAACCTTAAAAGTTGGAGACAAAAAAAAACCAACAAAAAAGACAAAATTTGAGTAGGTAACCACAGAGATAAAAGCAATGAGCACAAGGCATAGAACAGAGTGACATTCCTGCATTTTGCATCTTTAAGACAATCACATGGATTCCCTGAGACTGTGTCTGGCAGACACAGGGAGTAGTGCTCCTGGGTAAGCACCCTGCATATTCCAGCTGAGCCCTGTGCATTCCCAGAACAGTAAAAAGGTGCCTAGCAAGTACAGGTCTTGGAGGAACCAGATGTTTTGACATCCCAACACATCCTGAACACATCAGCCTGTAAAGAGCAATGCATATGGTATGGGTCCCTGGCACAGACATGCAAAGCTACAGCCAGCAAGCCTTGCAAGGCAAATGCAGCATTGTTTTCCTCAAAATATCTGAGCAGACCTCTTTGCTGTGCTCATTGTTGATCCTTCCTTCATCCCCTGAATTCAGAGCACGATCTGCCCTCTCCATCAACTCACCTCGGGACAAACATGAGATTCACACACATCTAAGATGTGCTATATCAAGTTCACAATGTCCATTCCTTAGAAGTCTCCCAGTTTAACTCTGTATCTTTAGAAAAACCAGAAAGCTCTCTGCATTCTTAACAGGAACCACTGCTAATACTCAAAATCAACAAGAAACTTGTTTCTTATCTGCATGTGTAGTTTTTGGCTGCACAACAGCAAACCAAAAGCTTCACAACTGCTCCTAAAAACAAAACCAATTCCAAGGCAGGAGGAACAACTCACATTGCTGACACTTTTCTTTTAAAGAAAAACCCAAACCAACAAAGTCTCATCTTAGCACACTCAAGAAGTTTTATGAAGCCTGATAGCAATCCAGCCAAATACTCTCAGCTTTGCATCAATTTTGGCTTCCAGGGGTGCAAACCTGGACATTTATGTGAGCAACAAACATTTGATTCCCTCAGCTGCAGGCATGCTGGCACTCCATTTACATATTGAATGAAATTGCAGCCATGCAGCACTTCTAGGACCAGAGAAGTTACTTGGGAGCATGTCACTAGTTGTTGGCAGAGCTGGAAGCACAAGGAGAGAAGTCCTTAAAGAAGATACTGAACATGCCCTTGGAAAAGAAAAACCAAATAAGGCTGTTGCCCCCAGGGACTCACATCTGCAACAGCACATTCAATCTGATGGTTTGCACTAACATAGGTTATAAAGCTCTAGAGTAAAAGAAAAACCAGATACCATTGCCTAGTGTAACTATTTGCTCTCTTACAGTAACACAGTAGCCTCTGTAGTTCTTCACTTCAGCAATTCTAACGAGTTAATTTCTGCAGTCACCTTCCTAAAGACATAGACCAGACCCCTGTGTCACATTACATTAACTGGCTACAACTGCTAAGGGCTGTTATGTTTGGAAATGGAGATGGTGCAATGAGCCACAAAACTCATTCCCACAGGCTCACTGACAAAGCATTTTCCAAGTCAAATTATAACTCCTAACAGGTTTCTATAAAGAGAATTACTGAAGCAGTGCTAAAAAACCCACTGCTTTATCTCAGCCAGTGATCTAGTGAAGCATGCAACTCCACCTCTGATCCAGACCAGCCAAAGGAGGCTGCCAGAGAGCATAGAAGTTTTTTAGCAGTGCTGCAATCCCCATCAGGAGAGGGCTGTGCTGCTGAATAGATCCTACACCAATGGAGCCCAGATTCCTCTGCCTTCCAGAGCTGTCCAGGGCAACACAAGCAGCAGGCCACACCCCAGCACAGAAGAGAGCCTGGAAACTCCTGGCAGTTTATAAACTATGCTGCTGTAAGGATGCAAAGAATCCCTTCCCTGGCTGCCTTGCTGCAGTCAGTCTCACAGAAGCTGTCAAAGTACAAATCCAGGCATAAAGGACTATTTTGTACTGTGCAGATTCAAAGAAATAAAAACATATTACAGAAAACGGCTCTTTCACCTTATGTTTGTAGCCTTTTTCCTTTTGCTTTCCTCTTTTCCGGAGAACAGGCAGCTCTTCAAACTGATGTCTCCCTTCAAAGAGGACAACAGCTTTCCCAGCAACCCAGGCTTTCTCTGAAGGTTCTCCTAAGGCATCCACATAGTACTCTCGGTATGGTCTCTGATTGGAAACTATTTCAAGAAATGCAACAGAATTAACCCCTCGCATGTAACAGAATAAAGACACAAAAGGAGACACAGAAAACAGTAACAATTTGAGAGGTAATTTTCAAGTACATTTTGCTTAACAACATTCCCACATAAACGCCAGTTCTGGGGATTTCTACTCACAGTTAAGGGAGACCCCTTTGATTGCTGCTGTCTATATTCTACATTGCTACTCTATTTTTAAGTTGTTTGGGATTTTTTTCTTGCAAACAATTGATTAACATGCCTATGATTGGTCATCTTCCTACAGCAAAGATTGCTCACAAGAAAAAAAAAAAAAGAAGCAAAAACATTGTAATATTTTTTCCTCAAGAGACACAACACACCAGGCAAAACATTTCTTTTCTGCTACTCCCTGATTAATGATTAAACAGTCCAGAGCACTTGACCGTTGGGAAAACACAACAGTGCTGGAAACACCCAGAACTGACATCCTTCTGGATAGGATTTACTCACACAGGTTGAGCCTCCCCCATCACAATACATCCCATCTTGTTCAATGTTTTAATACCAAACAAAGTCTTATTTAGGACACAAAACATGAACAGCAGCATTTAAGCAAACACATGCACACACACACTGGAAAGATTAGGTGTAACATGACACAACATTAGCTGAAATGAGTCTCTCCATATTTAAGGCACAGAGGTGCAAAGAAAGAGAAGAAATTCAAACATAAGGGCACATTCAAAGCTTCTTTAAAGGTACTTTCTAAGCAAGAATGTTGAAGGCACATGATACAAATAAGAACTGAATCAGTACTGGGTGTGCTGGTGGAAAAGGCCTGCTCACAAGCATTACAACAGAGCAAACAACACTTAAGGGATATACACTTCTCCCTCCAGTTTGCTGCAATGTATTAACTTTCTCCTGGCAACACCTTCACTCTCTGAACAGGCAGGTTACACTTCCAGCCCATTTGGTTTGTGCTGCCTCCTCCAGGGTGCCAGCACAGTGTGGTAGCCTGGCCTTAAGTGATGCTGAAATTGAGATTCTAACCAACACCACTGAGAGGATGACAAACAAGGACCAGAACATCAAGCCAAGTGCAAAGATCACAGGCTTCATCCACCCCATTCACAGTTCTAGGACTCAAGCCACTGAGCCTACACCTTCCAGCTCCAAAAATCTTCCAAGTCAAGAGCTTGCTGAGAAAAGGTAAACTGCCTTTAACTAAACACCATTCCTCAAATCCCAAGAGAAGAGCTTTCAGCACACGTGTCGAGGTTGAAGCAACCTGCCTTGTTTTGAAGGGCTTGTTCCCTTGGCAACAAGAGAGCCAAGGCAGTAGGACCGTGCTTCCGACAGTGCACACAGAGCCCAGCTCTTCCTGCCCAAAAGTGCCGGAGTTCAGATCCACTTGCTTTGCCACCTTGGCACTGGGAAGGGAGGACAAGCACACTACATACAGCCACAGCTGGAAAGTACCATTTTCCTCTGAGCCCCATTGGTTTGAACACAGAAAAAACAATGATGGGAGAGTCCATCATGCGGCTGGAGATCAGGTCTTGCAGGAACTTGCTAACAGAGCTTTTCTTCCCTGCAGAATTCCTTTGTTAGAAATCCTCAGGCACAGGCTGAAAGTGGAATACTGGACAGCTGTACACATTAAATCCTGCCCAAAACTTCATGAGGAGGGATGTGAGGGGAGAATATATAGAAGCATATCTTCTGGAAACATCTCCAACAGGATTCTGAGAACTGGAAAAAGACTATTTAAAACAGCACATTCAGTATTCTCCAGAATCAGGATAAATGCCTCCCAAAGGATGAAGGGGGAGGTGAAGATAGAAGACTTCAGCAACCAGGCTTGGGGATGATGTGAGCACCACGTAGGAAAAGCTACTTCATGTCTCTAGAGAAACAGCAGTGGCTCTGAGCTGATGGCCACTCAAAAAGAACTCCACTCATGCCCAGCACTTGTTGTGCTTAGGCTGGCAAGGGCCACAAAACCTGGGGACAAACACAGTAGTGAGTGGCAATCTCACCAGTCCAGAGCTGTCAGCAGCAGAGGACAACAGCTCAAGGGGTTTCCAGTTGCCCACAGTACAAAAAGAATCAGAAGGGGAAACCAGGAACAAAAAAGCCTTTCTGTTTGTGGCAGTTTCCCTGTGGCATCTGGTATGATACTAAAAGCAAACAATTCCTCACTTCCCTTCTGTTCTCTCCATCACTCATGTACCTGTCTTGATCTTTTAAAGATACTCTTTCTCCCTTCCTGGCTCTCTCTTGTGGCCAAGCATACACAGCTCTGTCATGTTTGCCCATCTCTCCTCTTCACACTCGGCTCACTCACACTATCTATACACCCTAAACATTCACATATGTGGCTCCACCCTTTGGTTTTTCCAACATTTCCGTATCAACAGCCCCTTTCTTTCTTGTGCCAAACAAGACCCAAAAATTTCACTTCCATGCACATGCTCCCATCACACCTTCAAGCATTTAGCAGCTACTCTGCATTACCCCACACTCCACTCCTCAGCCTCTCCAGTCTCCCATTCTCCAAGAACTCTCTGTGTCGTCATACACTCCAGTCTTCCCATCTCTGCTTCCTCACCTGTTGCACCTCTCTGATCCATCTCCTTTTTCTCTGCATACCTTTCTTGAGAGACTGCTCCTTCTTCTGCACTGCCCTGAGCATAGCCCAGCTATTTGTCCTTCCTACAGTCTGGGAAGAAAAGCCTAAATGTCCAACAGCTATCTGTGCCACTTCACCACCCCCAGCCCCTTCTTCTTCCTGCTACCTCCCTCATTTAGCTCTACTTTATGGATCCGGGTCTTGTTTTCCACAGCAGTCTATTTCTTCATACCTTTCAAAGACCAGAAATGCTTTTAAAATTAATTAAAAACAGCAGCATCCTGCTGTACACAATGCCTCTACTTTGTGGTCTGAGTAGATACAGTACCTTTCATTTTTGAGTGACAGTCCAGCACTGGGTCATGACAAATTGTGCATGGCCACCATGGGCGTCTGTTGAACTTGGCCCAAACAAGATCCCCAACTTCATACTTCACTGGAGTGGGTTTCTTCTTGGCTTGGATCTTTGGGGAAAAACCAGAACACAAGAAATCACTAAAGCTCCAGATGCTTTTGAAGAGATTTGCCTCCCCCCCTTGTGTGCAGATTACACGGGACAGCAGAGACATTTACATTAAAAAGCAAGTGCTGATTTTACTTAGTGGCTCCTACACCTTCAAAGAACACAATGGTTCTCCCCATTCTTCTGAAAGAACACAACAATAAGAGGATTTGAGGTTTTTGTTATTTTTTTTAGTAAGTAGCATGACCTCTGGTAAATGACTGCACTCAAACTTCACACATTTGAACAGGTAAATATTTGGAGTTACTACTGGACCCCATTATTCCACCAATACCAGTTTGTTTATTTCAAAGGTTGCAACACATGGAAAAAGCAGTGGTAAAAGACAGTGAAATTTTCCTGACTGAAATGTGATAAGAACAGCAAATTAAGTGTTTATCAAAAAAAAAAAAAAAAAAGAAAAAAAAAAATAAAAAAAAAGGTTGGATTTTAA